AGGGCTGCCAACGTGGTCCATCCTCTTGCACCCTTTCGCTGCTTGCTTCTCTGAGGGTAATCAGCTCCCCGCGCCCATGACGGACGCTGAATTACCAGACGTTACACCAAGGGCAGGTGTCGAAGCAGAGCAGCGAGAAAACGCACGCTGGGGCATGTTTCAACCCTGCCCCCTCCCGTGGAGCACGCCACGAGGGGGAGTCGATCTCACGACACTCAGGCTCGGCCACGGCAGGAGAATTAATGAAGGGGCTGGCGGTGCATGCGAGCGTTTGCGGTGGGAGAGAAAAAGTCGCGTCGCGTCGCCTCAGGGCGCGAGCACCTGACGAGGGGCGGCGGGGGACACGGCGAGGCTTCCCCGTAGCTGTGGCAGGGGAGCCTTTTTCAACGGCGCCATCCTTGGCAGTAGCGTCCCGAGGCCGCCGTGTGAGGTCGGTTTGCAAAAAGCGAAGGTGGCCTTGACGTCGGTGCAGCGGTGCTCTCAAGACTCGCCACATGCAGCCAAACAGCGGCGGTGAGCCTGTCACAAGGGTCGGCTGGGCCAAGTGCCTCACTGCGGCCACTGGCGGCCGGGCAGGCTCTGGACTCAAGGGCGACAGAGTGTGACGAGAGGCTGTTCTCGTTAAGTGACAGCAAACCCTCCCGGTTCAGGACGCCGCACTCCTCGACTCCCTTGGGGGAGGCTGCTCTAGCTGCAGCCGCCTCCGAACCTGCAAGCGCACCTAAACTACAACACCCCAGTGACAGCCTTGCTGACCAACACCTCTCTTCCCATTACTCCGCTGTCTGCCATTGGACAAGCAGGAACCCTCCCTCTCCTTGCTCTCTTTTGCATTGGTCCAGCCGGACTCTAAAACTCCGCTTCCAATTGGTATTGGATAGCAGGTACCCTCTCACTGAGGCGTCTCACGGCTCAGTTGCTGGGGGAGTTTAGCTTCATTATTGGTTGGCACGCTAATCTATCACGGTGGCGGTGGGCATTGGGGGTGGGGCGGCTGTGATTACACATCGGAGGAGGTAGCCGCGGTGGCATGTGCTCTGCTCGTTAGCCGTGAGTGTGGGTTGTCCTTGGGGAGGGATACAAAAGCTCGGTCCCAGCCTCCAGAGTGGTTATTTTTATTGCAACTGGTTAACAAGGAGTCTAAAGATTAATTTATAGTGGCATAAAATTTCATGAGCGGGAGCCCACTTTGTCATGTGTAATTTAGCTGCTGGTGCCTTGGACGTAACAGAAGTCTGGTTTGTCAACACAAGCATTAAGAACAGATATATGAACATAAGAGACGCCAATGTTGGATCAGGCCAAAGGCCCATCCAGTCCAACACTCTGTCACACAGTGGCCAAAAATACCAGGTGCCATCCGGAGGTCCACCAGTGGGGCCTATAACTAGGTACAGGTGTATTGATTAAGATTCAGTTCCTTATACTATGTCAACTAGAAATCAAATACGAGCTGCATTATTGTAGTTGTTGTATATTTCTTTGTAGTATCTTTTTTTCTTCTTTGAAATAATAAAATTTTCCTAGCCTCGGCTGGAATAACTGGGGGGGTGGGGAGAATAGAACACTCTGGACCCCTCTGGGGAAGACCCTAATGGACTTTCCCTCTTCGGTTGACATGTAGACTGGCCCTTTATCAGAACTCAGGCTTCTGGAGATAGCCAAGCCTTTTTCGGGGCCAGGGGCCATCACGTATGCAAATGAACAATGCCTCCAGGCACGATGGATCTTATTTCATACAATAAACTACTTTAATTTAAAAATACATAAAACTGACTTGCAACAACACATAATTGGTTATAAATGAAGAAAAGACAAAAGTTTTTGGGCAACAGAAATCATTCACTCTGATCTTAAAAGCAAATATTGAGAAAGGGCTTGCACACTGGACTCTTTAGCTGGGTAGAGCCAGGGCTGAGTGTATGGGTACCCCAGCTGTATATCAGTTGGGATTGCACACCCATGACACCTGCTCTATAGCTCCGAACCCAGGACTTGTATGGCCTGATGCAAGATAAGGTATCTCTGATTTGACGTGTCTCTGCTGTCTTGTGGAGGAGCCTCTCTTTGCATTTAGCAGTACAATTCCTTCAGTTTGGGGATGTGCGGTGGTAGGACTGACCAGGTTGGGGCACGCACAAGCTGCTGGTCCAGTTGTCCTGATTGGTATGCCCTTCCCAGCAAGCTCTCTGTGCACGGAGCACATATTCCCCCATGACCTGCTCAGCTCTGCCTCTGCAAACCCCTTTGGTTCGAAGCCATATAGCCATCAGGTTCGACTTCACACTAATGAAGGGCTCCTGTCAGACTTCTGCCTACCTCTTACCTCCTGCAGCGACTATTTCCCCGGAGAGTTTTAGCATCAGCTCACCAAGAATCCCTATCTAGCTTATTTCCTGGTCCAATCCCTTTTCCTTTCCTGGATGTGTGATCTATGTGATCGATGTTAAAAGCAGCGGCAATGGCGTTGAATCGATGACGATAAGGCAAAGATGGTGGCGAGCCCGAGTACGGAGACCAGTGCCTGGAGAGCATGACGTGCAACGAAGACTGGAGCCTATTGGACAAAGAGTCGAGCTGCCTTGTTCATGTTCTGTGGGGGCCATCTGCTGGAAAAAAGCCGCTACTGCAGAGAATCCATACTTCAACACTGGACATCTGCGCCCTTGAGGGAAAGAACTACCATCGAATCCATCGCCGAATCCAAGAAGGATCCTGCTGTTAGGTGCCTAGTTAGGAAAATACCCTCCCCTTACCATTTTACTCCTAGCTTAGATAAAAATTATCTGTAAACTGCTCTGAGCCTCATGGATAGGGCGGTATATAAATTGCAAATGTAATGTAATGTAATATGTTCATGGTTTGCAAAGGGAGGCACACCAAACAACAACTGGTGCATCTTGAGACGGTGTCAAATGACTGATTTCTTCCCAAAGGCCTAATGCAACAGCTTAAAGACCACTGCAGTATCTTTGCACAAAAAGTAATATTTTGTCACCTTTATGAAGAAACTTAACTTCTGAGAAGTCATTGAACACACAGCATACATTGGCCAAGCCCCACCCCACCCTAAACCTTAGCGCTGTCTAGTTAAAGACAAAATACATTTCACTAACCATCTGATAACATCAGGCATAGAAAAAACCTATGGATTAAGCCACAGATCAGAAGATTATATGCCAATTCCTGTATGTCATACAAGTGATTCTGCACTATTTTTTTTTTGTAGACTTAGAAAGAGAATAATGTGCCATTTGCTGCACAGCCCCATAGCATATGGAGATCCATGTCCGGGTCTGTTGTCTCTGGTCCTCAAGAAATGGGGACTATTAATGCTACTCCCCCCCACACACACATTCCCCCATTCACACAGGATACCACATAGACCATGAGAATCACACCCTGTTCTTCCTGCTCTTTTATGTCCCCGAGCACCCTGTCCCCCCTTTCCTTTCTCTCAGAAATAACACCCCATTCCATTTTCCTTTTCTTTCCTTTCATCCTTGGTCTCTCTTTCACAGGAATCATCCCTTTTCCTTTTTGGGTCTTTATTCTCCTGAACAAGCAAAGCATGCAGTGCTGGCTCCAGACGTCTTGTCCCCTGAGGCAATGTTACCACCACCTTGCATGCCCCCTCTAGGCTTCAACAGTACGTGGATAGAGAACTGCCAGAAGTACAAGCTGGGTTTCAAAGAGAAAGCAAGAGAGTACCAGAAAAACATCTACTTCTGCTTCATTGACTATGCTAAAGCCTTTGACTTGCAACTGTTGTCATATGGATAATGAAGGAGTTAACAAAAGATGTTAGAGTCCAGTTTGAATCCAGTGGCCTTGATAAGACCTGCAAAGTTTAATTTCTGGGTATAAGTAAGAACAGAATGACTTATTGAGCGTACTGCAATGAGAAGCCGATATCTCTGTTAAGACCTGGGGGTAACCCTGTCAGGACTGTTATTCAATTCAACAACCTCCCATTTCAGTCTGTTTCTTAAATTCTTCTGAAATTAGACATCCACCTTGAGTTCTCCTGTCAAGTGCTCTGGGAGGTTGATATGTTATCCTACATGGATTCTTACTTTTGTAACCCTTAATGTCAAATTTGTGTCCATTTATACTTTGGCGTACAGTTTTACATGCATGTCCAAATTGAGAAACTGAACAGCATTGTCGGCATTTAATGGCACAAATATGTTGGAAGATGAGTGGGAGTATAAGCATGAGGTGTTGTTGATATCATTAGGTCCTTCGCATTTTTGTCTGGGTGTACGCAGCAGCAGAATTGGTCTCTGCATTTTTCCTGTCATGTAAACCTTGGGTTTTGAAATGAGTAATAAATGTCATGGTAAATCAAGGCAAAGGTGTCTCCTAATTCCTTTTGCAGAAGTTTGTTCTTTGACAATAATCAAGCTCCCCTTGTGCTTGCCTCCATTTTATCCAATGGCGCTCTGTTGACGCTAGTACCAACCCTTTGTAAAAACACATTCAAAGCAGATCCCCACTGAGAGATGGCTTTGATTTATGACTCCTGGAATGTAGGGTCATTTGACGCAAGACAAACACGTGTCCTTTAAGCATAAGAGGGGCAAGAGTGGGCTGTAACTGGACGCCAACTGTCTGGCCTTGTGAGAGAGATCGGGTGAGGCTAGATGGGAGTGGTGGGGGTGGAGGCCCCTAGAAATCTAATTGCTGCTTTGTGTGGAAGTCCACAGGCCACTGTGACAAAGGTCTGTAAAATGTACCTCTGGAACCACTCCAATGAATTCTGGGTATACTCAGATTGCATTTATTTTTTGCATTAAAAACTGTGGTTGGACCACTGGAACAATATGAGAAAGGAGCGGATCGTCCACTTTTCTCCGACAGAATCACATGTGGTTCAGGGGCTAGAGCAGGGGCCTCCAACGTTTTTGAGCCTGTGGGCATCTTTAGGATTTTGCACAAGGTGGTGGACACAACCACAAGTGCCTGGTGCCATACACACAGAGGAAGCTAAAGCAAAGGAGAGAAGAGGGATAATTTCAAAAAATACATCGGAAAAGAGGAGTGAAAGAGAATAAAACCAACACTGTGCTGGCAGCTGCTGCTGGAACAATATTTTCCAGCCAATTGGATATCCAGTGGCCACTCAGTAGCCCTGCTGGGCAGATGCCCTACCTGGCCCCACCCTTTCCCTAAAACACTTGGTGAATGCCAGGAAGGGTCTTGGCAGGCCCATGGGCACCATGTTGGGGACCCCTGGGCTACAGTGTCAGACTACGACCCAGGTTCAAATCCCAACTCTGCCACAAATCATATACTATGTCCATGGTGACAGCTTGCACTACAGAAATCACAGATCCACAGTTTCATGGAAACACCGTACTGCAAAAACATGGATCTGAAGCACAGATCCTCATGGATCCTAGGGGTTTTTGCATTGGGTCACCCCAAACTCACCATCCAGTCACATATATCCATGAGCAGAGCTTGCACCACAGAAATTATGGATCCATGGCTTCGTGACACCACCATGACACAAAAACATGATTCTGAAGCACGGATCCTCATGGATCAAATCATATTTTGTGGCGACACCATGGAACAAAAGCATGGTTCTAAAGCACGGTTCTGAACCTTGAATCCTCAGGGATTTTGCTTTATGTCACCCCAGACTCACCATCAAATCCCATATCATGTCCATGGCCACAGCTAACATGACAAAATTCACAGAGCCACGGCTTCATGGCAACACCATGCTGCAAAAACATACTTCCAAAGCACAGATCCTCATGAATTCTCAGGGCTTTTGCATTGGGTCACCATGAACTCACCATCAAATAACACATCATGTCCATGGCCACAGCTCGTATCACAAAAGTCACAGATCCACGTCTTGGTGGGGACACCATGCTGCAACAACATTGTTCTGAACCATGGATCCTTAGGGATTTTACATTGGGTCACCCCAGACTCACCATCAAATCACATATCATGTCCATAGCCACAGCTATCACCAAAAAATCATGGATCCACAGCTTCTTGGCAGCACCGGGCTGCAAAAACATGGTTCTGAAGAAGGGATCCTCATGGATCATCTGGATTTTTGCTTTGGGTCACTTCAGCATAATTATTAAATCACATATTATGTCCATGCCCTCACCTTGCACCACAAAAAAATCACGGATCCACAGCTTTGTGGTGACACCTTGTGGTGAGTGGGTGTCAACATGGCAAATGAGGTTCAACATGGGCAAGTGCAAAGTAATGCACATTGGAGCCAAGATTTCTAACTACAAATATACACTGATGAGGTCCAAACTGGCGGTAACTAACCAGGAGAGAGATATTTGAGTTGTGGCAGATAACTCACTGAAAATGTCAACTCTGTGAGCGACTGCAATTAAAAAAGGCAAATGCTATGCTGGGGATTATTTGGAAGGGAGTCTGGTAAGAAAAAATATATACAGATGTGTGCTAGATGCCCACAGAATAATACAATGACAAAAGAGACTAGATTAAAGCCATAACATCATTTAGTGTCTAGTAATGAAAAACAACCACTTATTCCTTCATAGAAAAAATACAAAGGTCAATAAAATTACACAAAGCAGTCTGCTCCAAACTCTCTCAGTCAATACCCTTCTAACAGTCTTGTATTCTCAAAAGCAGTCTGCTCCAAATTCAATCTCCTCAGTTATTTTCAAGCATGCTGCTGCTGCCGCCAAAGTCAAATGGACCCAGACTATGAAAGTGAGGAGACCTTGCCCAAAAACCTTCGCTGCTGTTCATTCTCAGACAGCACCTGTTGCACCAAGTACAGACACTTATGATGAACTGATAACTCTCTTGAAGACACATTTTCCCCCAACACCATCTGTTACTCTACAGAAGTTCTATTTTTTTAAGTATGATCAGCAAGCCAGTGAAAATATAGCAGAATACATTGCAGAGCTCCATCACCTTGCTGAACATTGTGAATCTGGGTTTTTTTTTGAAGGCTTGTTACAAGATTGGCTCATCTGTGGAGTTAAGGATGAGACCATCCAGCAGCACCTCCTCTCTGAACAGAATCTGACTTTTGCTGCAGCACAGCAACAAGTATTAGCAGCTGAAGCCACTTCATGTAATGTCAGAGAAATTCATAACAGGCACCGCACTGACTTCCACGTTCTCCAACAAACCCAGGACTCAGATGAGGAACAAGTACAGAGGCTCACATCTACACCAGTGGGATTATGTAAATCAAGTAACGCCTTTGTATTTTTAAACTGTGGAGGTGAATATAGATTCACTTGCCAAAAAAAGTGACATAGAAAGTTGCGAGAGTTGCGAGAGAAAAGTTCCTGAGGAAATGGCTATTAAAATTTTCTTCCTTTTCGGAATCTACAAGGTTGAGACTTCTGATGAGTACTCTGTGCAATAACTGTATAATAGATGTGGCACATTTCTGTTATACTGTCTTTTTAAATGTTTTTTTTTTAATTAAATTTAAATTAAATTCTTTTTTTTACTGGAGTATGGCCTATAGGCTTTTAAACTTAATAAACTGAAACTGTGATTATGTGAGAGAGTGGATGAGAAATAAAAAGGGTTTGTCAGTCAAGGGCTAGTCCCAGAAAACAATGAGTGGAGAAAAGGTACCCAGCTTCAAACTGCCCATAATACTCCATTCAACACATTCATGCTGTCAAGGGGCAATGCCCAGAAATGATTGCCACTGCAGAGATAAATGGTCAGAAGTGTGAAATAGAAGTTGTCTCTGGGACTGAATCCACCATCATAGGCAACAACATATTTTCACAGCTATTTCAGGACCACTCTCCCAAATTACACAGGTCAAAATGTTGCTTTCATGACTACAATAGACAGATTGTTCAAATCCTTGGAAGCTGTGATGCAGACCTTCGCTAAGGACCAGTCAGACAGACATTACCCTTGCGAGTTACAAAAAGGGATTTGTGAAAGCCTGCTTCTGGTTCACACCTTTGGGAATCAGTGTTCAAGGAGTACATAGTGTCTGTCCAGCAATAATGGAAGAACTGGCATCTGAGTTCCCACATGTATTCACTGGGGCATTAGGAGCATACAAAGGTCCACCAGTGACTTTTCAAATGAACCCTACAATAACACCTATTTCTTTGAAGGCCCGGAATATTCTTCTCACCCTGAGACCAATGATTGATGAAGAACTTAATCGGCTCATTGCACAAGAAGCCACCAACTCACACAACCTGGGTCACCCCTATAGTTCCCTTCTTGAAACCAAATGGCAACATATATATTAGTGGGGATTACAGATGTTCTGTAAATAAGGCACTCAAGCAAGACCCATATCTAGCAACTGTCATAAACCAGTTGTTATCTGTCCAACAGGAGGAAAAGTTTTTGCTAAACTGGACCTTGCTCAAGCAAAATAAGAATGTTTGGTGGGAGGATCCAGGTAACGGAACGGAATGGAGGTTGCAGAATAGCACTGCCTCTCCCTTCGACCTAGAACCTAGCCCCCCCCCCCCCCATATAGGGGGTGGTGCCTAGACCCGGTTTTCCGCTTTCGAGAATCCCACAACACACAAGTCTGGAGAAGTAGGAACGCCTCCTTAGGCGTCCAAACCCACCAACAGTCGCGCTTTCTCCTTCCGGGCGCTAGGCGACTTCCTCATTGGCTGAAATTTTCCCGAATCTGGTCGAGCCAGGCCGGGGGGTGGGATTGTGACTCTAACCCGGCCAGTCACATGGCGCTGTGAGGAGGGCGGGCCGTTGTTTTGTTGCTGGCGGAAGATAGTAGCCCCCTACCGAGTTTCTGCTCTGCGGTCCTGGAGCAGATGGAGGCGGTGCTGCGACGAGAGCTCGGCACCTCGGTGCTGAGGCCCGTAGGCCACTCGGGGGGCGGTTGCATCAGTCACGGCGAGAGCTTCGACACAGACCAGGGCCCCGTCTTTGTGAAAATTAACTCCCGCGCTGAGGTGTAGGGCGGGAGAAAAATGGGAGGGCAGGTTGGATGGGGTGGGGTTTTTTTTTCCAGCAGGGCAGGAGGACGGCTGTGCAAAGTTTGACGGGTTCCTTAGGGTTGGGGAAAGGAAGGGGGGAGCTTACAGTGTGGGCATGCGCGTGATTGGGATAAGGCTGTGGTACGTTTATCTGGCACAGCCGAAGGCAGGAATGGGGAGAGCCGTAGTGGGGTGTGCGTATGTGGCGATTGGAGAGTTTAGTCACAGGCTTGCTTGCCTTTTCGTGACCATAAATTGGAGTTTGAGTGCTCTGGTTATGATAGGGGTTAGACAGTGTTCTCCAGGGCTGAATTTAAATCGGGGTTCATCCATGCCGCTTTTTGGCCTTGGTGAAAATGGTACTTTAGATCTCCTGCAACATTACCTTCATTGAGAGCATGGTGGTGTAGTGGTTAAGAGCATGGACTCTTAATCTGGGAGAACGGGGGGGGGGGAGGAGAGAAAGGAGACTGTAAACTGCTCTGAGACTCCTTCGGGCAGTGAAGGGTGGGGTATAAATCCAATCTTTTCTTCTTATTAATACTGTCTTGTGCTAAATAATTCTAATCTGTCTATACGAATTGGATTTAATTTACTTCATTTATACCTGGCCTCTCTTCCCATTGAGAACCCAAAATGGCTATTACCAGGACCTTTTGAAGTTCAGCACTTCCGATTTTAGAAATAATTACTCAGTTGATGTACAGAGGAAAAGTGCTGAGTAGAGGGCTGCATTGTCATGTGATAAATGAATGAACTGACAGGGCTTGACAGTTTGCCACACAAAGTCTGCTGTTGTCTATTCTGTTCTGTGTTTGTTTGAATTTACTGTGAGAAGGCAGACTTGACCAGAAAGAAGTTAGATACACAATGTGTGCAAGAATAGAAGCTTCTACAGCAACATTTATGCATGCAGAGAGCCAGTGTGGTATAGTAGTTAAGAGTGTTGGGCTGGGATATGGGAGACCCAGGTTGGAATCCCCATTCTGCTGTGGAAGCTTGCTGGGTGACCTTGGACCAGTCACACACGCACTCAGTGTAACCTACCTTACAGGATTGTAGTGAGGATAAAATGGAGGAGAGGGGAACAATGTAACCTGCTTTGGGTCCGCATTGGGGAGAAACGTGGTATATGAATAAAGTAAATAAATAAATGTTCTGTTTGAGCTTCATGTTTTATCTACTTCTCTGCCACTAAAGTTGTTTCTCTGGTATACATCTGGCATGTACTGAGGCTGGGATAGCGTAGTCAGTAAGGAAGTTTGCACTTTGGTTTGCTCTTTGCCTTTCTGTCCTTTGTCCATTTCGGATCCAATTTGGTATGACAAGACCAAGTATTGTTTTACCTTTTTATTTATTGGATTTCTAGTCTGCCCTCCCATGCACAACAGGGTTCAGGGTGGATTACAGCAGTAATTATGAAAAATCATTATGCAATAATTAAAGCCATGAAAAACTACAAGTGAATCTTTGATTGTGTATAGTTCCCTTTGGCCTGACCTGGATAGCCTATGCTAGCTTGATCTTGCCAGATCTTGGAAGCTAAACAGGGTCGGCCCTGGTTAGTACTTGAATGGAAGTCCAGGGTTGTTCTGCAGAGGCAGGCAATGGCAAACCACCTCTGAATGGGTCTTGCCTTGAAAACCCTAAGGGGTTGCCATAAGTTGGCTGTGAACTGATGGCAAAAAAAGGGTTCCCTTTTGAGGTAAAAATCCAAATGCCTGCATTCCACTCCCTACTTCATATGTGAATAGGACAGACGCATGAACAACAAACAGCTGCCTGAATTATACCTACTCTGCCCTTTAGTTTCTAGCAGAGTAAAATGTTAGTCCAAGGGCCAAATAAGATGCACAAGTTTTTAAGTTCTCCAGAATTCTTAATCAGACTGGTGGATTAACAGAAAAAAATCCAGTGATGTTAATGGCTTGTTTCACTACTTGGGATTTAAGAGGGCTGCAGATTCCGTAGTCTTTTAATTGGAGTATCAAGTCCATTTGACATAGTAGTCCAATCATATCAGGGTCACTGAGAGGGTAACAAAATGTGGTTGGTCGTTTTAATAAATATTCATTTTCACTTGCTTGGATTGTTGTAGTTAGTGGCATTCAGGTACCAGGGAAATGTTATGTCTGTGGAATTTCTGTCATGTAACTGTTACAAGTCTCTGTTGGGGGGGGGGGGGATGGCATGAGAGCTGAAAGTGGAGAAACTTAGCATTTTGAAGTGTTTATAAGATCGTTTTCTTTTTATATCGAATAGGCCAGAAGAATGTTTGATGGAGAAATGGCAAGTTTAACAGCTATCTTGCAAACACAGACTGTGAAAGTTCCTAAACCTATAAAAGTTATTGATGTGCCAGAGGGTGGGGCTATGTTTGTTATGGAGCATTTGGACATGAAAAGTTTGAACAGGTAAGTTCTTTGATTTTTTTGCTGTGAATTAGTTGCCTGATTGAAGAAGGAAATCAGAAGAAAGATGTCATGATATCTATCTGTATAGTCTTATATCTATATAAGTTCACAATATCTATTGGTCTGAACTGATACATATTGATGTTACATTGGCCTTGATAAGGCGATTTTACTTATACTTTTAGGATCTAAACTGGAAGGTACATATTTGCAAAATCACTATCTCCCATATAGGTAACTGGATTGGAACATTCCATTTTTGGTCCTATATCAATTGTTTTCTGCTTTACAAGTGTAACGGGCTTTGTCCTATGTTGTACTAGAAATAAGACTTGTTGTAGAAATAAATACAACGAGCTCTAGAAAGAGGCTCTGGGAGAGTGCCAAGGCCTTGGGCACTCAGCGTCAATGTGCTGTGGCGACCTCAGCAGGGTATAATGACACAGAGTCCACCATTTTCTCCAGAGGAACTGATCTCTGCTCCTTGAAGAGCAGTTGTAATTTTCAGTGATCTCCAGCCCTCACCTGGAGATTGGCAACAATTGTTACACAGGAGGAAGTGGCTGGTTTGGAGGGTGGAGTCTATGGCATTGTACCTTTCTGAGGTCCCACCCCTCCTCAAACTTCACCCTCTCCAGGTTCCATCCCTCAAATCTCCAGGACTTTCCCACCTGGAGTTGGCAACCCTATCTCCTTCCCAGTCAGTCATCAACCTAGCTTTATTTCCCCCCCTCTCTTTAGCTTTCCATCCCCCCCACACACACAGACCTGCAGCCTCTCCCATGCTCTGAAGCCGTGGCTGCCAGAGTCCACCATTTTCCATTCTCTGAAGCCCTGACTGCCACAGAGTGCACCATTTTCTCCAGGGGAACTGATCTCTGCCATCTGGAGAGCAATTTTAATTCTGAGTGATCTCCAGCCCTCACCTGGAGATTGGCAACAATGGTTTTCCAGGAGGAAGAGTAGTCTTTCTCTGCAATGGGGACCAAAGCAGCTTACATCATTCTCCTCTCCCGCTTTTGACTTGCACAACAATCCTGTGAGGTAGTTTAGGCTGAAAGTCTGTGACCAGTCCAAAATCACCCACTCAGCCTCTACAGCAAGAACATGGATCTAGCAGACCCTGCTCTGAAGCACTGACCACTACGCCTAGGGCAGCCAACTTCCAAGTGGAGCCTGAGGATCACCAGGTATCACAACTGAACTCCAGACAACAGATCCCCCTCCCACCACCGGAGAAAATAACTGTTCTAGAAGGTGGGCTGTATAGCATTCTGTTCAGCTGAGGCCTCTTCCCTCCCTAAACCCTGGCAAGCCTAGACTCAGTACTGGCCCCAATGAGTTCCTCACAAAGGCCTGCAAAGGGTTTCCTTCCTTTGTCTGAACCGAGCTTGGTTGCCTACTGTGGCGAAACGGGCTCCAGTTTACTACTCAGCTGTTTGCCTCCTACCCTCGTCCCATGCGCATATCTCACTCCTTAAATTCGCTGCCACCACTCACTGAATTGTCACTGCCTTTTTAGCGGGACAGTGAGATGCCTCTGGCCAAATCTCCGTATTTGGAGATAGAATTCCCAATTTTGGGGGGATCCCTGGAAAGTTGGCAACCCAAGGGTCTGGCCTTTCCTTGCCTCCTTGGGCTACTCCCTCCCTTTGTTGTTGTGCAGAGCGGGAGAGACTATGTGGTCAGAGCACAACACAGATTATTAGCCCAAATAAAAGAATTTATCTAACTATTGACACAGTTATGGGGCGCACACACTCACTGTAGGAGTGTATGAACCAACACAGCATAAATCCACAGGGGTTAAACGTCATCCTCTTTCCCTACACACCGGCCTCTGGCTCTTTGCTCTAGCCTCTCTCTCTCTGGCCCAAGAGAGCAGGGTTCCCCCACGTCTCTGGCCTGTGGCCTGGACAGCCTGGTGAGCACAGGCAGCAGGAGCCTTTCCTTAACCTCCTGTAGGACGAAGACGGTCTCCTCACTGGATGGGCTGCAGTCTCTATTGATGGCGCCCCATGCGTTGGGACAGTCCCGGTTTTCCCGCTCTTTTCTGCCTTGGGGCAGCTGGGCACTGTAGTCCAGCAGATGAGGAAACCCCATTCAATCAAGTGAGTGATACCTCTCTGGAACTACAGCTCAATTAAACCTTATGGCGGAACATTTTAAACAAACAACCACAGACAGCAGCCATCTTACAAACACAGGTAACTGTCATTTCGTTACACCTACCAACAGCCACTGAGGGAAAAGTTAAGTCCCACACAGGAGGCAAGCAGGAGAAGCGTCTTCGTCAAAGAGACAAAGCCATTTGCCAGGAATTCTGACGGCAGAGTGGAAGGGGGAGTGGGCAGGGAAGAGCAGCACACCCGGCCAATGGCACGCCAGTAGTCTTGACTGGCAGCTGACGGGCCAATGGCTGGGGGAGCCAATGCAATCTCTCCACCCCACAGGCCAGAAGTCACCACCATTCGGCAATTATATATAAGAGAGATTCTGTACTATTTGAACTCTGAAGAAAGCTCTTGTGGGCCGAAACGCATCAGGCCATATATGGGTTTTTTTTGTGCATTAGTCACTTTGATTATTTTGTGAGGCTTTATTTGGGCCCGTGCAAGGTTTTTATATGTTTTTTAAATAAACGTGTAGTTTTGTCTATACCTATAGATGTTTTTAACTTTTGGCCCTTTACTAGTTTTATAAACTTCCTTTGGACATCTTTTGAAGTATACATACTGTTGAACATTAAATTAATACAATTTTTCTTTTTTCCTTGGAGATTTATACAATTCATGGTATGCAGATACTGTGATGGGAAAAGGTATATGTGTAATTTCTGTCATATAGCTGTTAGAGGCCTCTGTCAGGGAGAAAAGTAGCGTGTATGGTATGAGTCCAGACGTCTTGTTTTTGAAGTGTTTATAAGAGTGTTTCCCTGTATATGAAGAATGAATGTTACCACATATTTTAAAAAGACCCCCAATTCTAGTGGTAATACTGATCTGAGATGGGATTGTAAATTACTCTAGTTTTATTGACCATTCTGTGTAAATGTAAACAAACCTTACTAAGTAAACAGGTCATACATCTTGAAAAATAAGTTGAGCAAGTCTTTACATTTGATCTGTCTTGTATGACATTTTTGTATCAAGTAGATAATTTTACATATACTTGTTTGTATATTTAATCTTGCTGTTGTGTGTACTTCAAATGCATGGCTTAAGTTATTGGTGGCCAAGATTTTTTGGTTATAAGTCAAGGCCAATATATAAGCAAGTGACACTTGAGTCCTTTGCATATTCACCTTCTAAGCCCAGCTGTCAGACAATAGGATGATGTTGGAGAGGCAGGCAGGAATGTAGGTCTGATTCCATGCCACAGTCAGGCCCAAAGGTTCTTGTCTGGGCATACCCATGCATCTGGTGGCATCAGCACTGCAGGCTGGACCTAGTCTGTAAATGGTGGCAGACAGGCACATAAAGGCTATCTGTCCCCTAACGATTAATGCTTGTTTCAGTATATAACCATTCATGTTTTGACTGTGAGATAAGACAATCTTCATAGAAAATTCTTACATAAAATGATTTCCTGTACAGTTTATACTCCACACTATAGAATTACTAAATGTAATGATTTGATTTCTTAGGCATGCAGAAAAACTTGGAACACAACTAGCAGATCTTCATCTTCACAACCAAAAACTTGAGGAGAAGTTGAAGAAAAATGCAAGCACCATTGGTAAAATGTGCAGTTATTGTGATTTCCTAAATCCAGCTAATTTAACATTGTAACTCATAAATTTACTTGTTAATATTCTCTTTTGTTCTAACATAAAAACAAACCCCAAGAGTAGAAAAATAATCGAGATAACAATCTTATTCTTTGCCTATATCATTGAAAAGAACCCACTTTTAAATGTATTGGATACTTTACTGTCTTGTTGCACATTGGTCACAGAAGAAGCGCCATATTCATAAATTACTCAGGATAAACTTTGATTTAAGTAAATAATTTCCATCTTTTTAAAACTTACACTTGCTTTGCAGGATTTATTTAACATTGAATTATTATGCAGAATATGAAGAAAATTGTTAGACTTTTATTTTATCACCAAGTTTGCAAAGAAAGCAGGGAATACAGTTTTCAAACTATTTCTTTTCTACAGACACAAGTAACTTCAGAGTGAATCCACTGTGGAAGTGTGTTTGCCACATATACAACATTCTTCCAAGGAACACGTACTTATTGTTTAAATCAGAAGCCAAATTTTGCACAGTGCTGTGCTGACTGGCTTGGCCCTCTTTTCAGCGACTTCTCCTTCCATGCCAGACCAAGTTTCAGCAGGCATGGGAGGGGCCCTGGTTCAGTGGTAGAGCATCTGCTTGGCATGTAGAAGGTCCCAGGTTCAATCCCAACATCTCCAGTTAAAAAGATGAGGTAGGAGGTGATGTAAAAGACCCCAACCTGAGACCCTGGAGAGTTGCTGCCAGTCTGAGTAGACAGTACTGACTGTGATGGACCAGTGGTCCGGTATAAGGTAGTTCAATGTGTTCATGACTTCTATAGTTCAATAAACAGTGAAAGAAAACTTTAGAAAATATAGCTCCAATCAAATAAACATGTAGGATATTTGGAAACCCCCGTAATTAAGCAGACACCATCCTTTCACTCAGGTGGGTTATTTTTAGTCCAAATGTGTGTGCTGAGGAGCAAAGATGGGAGAAAGGGGAACTTGTAATTCTTCCACTTGCTCCTTTTATTTATTATTTATTTAATTTAAAATATTCATTAGCTGCTTTTCTTCTTTACGGAGCTTGAGTTCTGTCTTTGGACTGCCTCTTTGGACTTGATTACTAAGTGCTCATCAGAGATTTCAAGGCCTAAGACTCCATCAGGGTAATGATGAACTGTTCACATTCTTTCTTCATTAAAGCTGTATTTATTTGTTTTTGAGGGGGTATTTGTGTTAGAGGCATAGGTGTGGAAAGTGATGGGGGTTCGAAAGCACCTTTGTGGGCCAAGTGATTTAATCTCCCTTCCTGCTCTTAAGCAAAGTAAGATTGAAGATTTCTTTGCCCCTACTAACACCCCTTCATATAATGTTTCTACCTGAAACCATTTTGCAGTTTCACCAACCATCTCTGAGGTCTCCCAGAGCAATACTCTGCTTGTAGATCAGTGTGGAGACTCAGTCCCCTTACTACAGAAAGATGCAGAAAATGCTGCATTTGTTGGTAACATGCTAAGAGATCTTCCCGCCCTAACTGCTAAAATAGTGGAAAGTATTTTTAAACAGCCACAGCTCATGCTCTCAAAGATCGACTCTCTAATCCACATAGTAACTGAGAATTACAACAGGAACCCTTTAAAATCTAGGGAATACTGAGTGGACAACAGCTGGCCCGACACTGCAGGAGGAAGCAACAAAAAATCGTGGGAGCAATTCCAGCTGTTCTCTGTCTGATAGTGGGTGAGGTTTCTCACATTTAGTCCTCCAGTCTCATAAGGTTTGTCTGAACATCCACCAAGGTAATGGATATATCCCATTATGGAATACTAAATTAGGTCTTCTAAGATGAAATCAGTTGAGCTCCTTAATCGTTCTTACTGGGCTCGTAGAATATTACTAACATTTGACTGTCCAGCTGTCCCCTCATTATTAATCTCACGGAAAGACTTCATAAATGCAAAGAGAATTTTCCCAACACATGTTTTTATGAACACAAGACAGTCTCCTGTTTTTAACCTGAAAACTCCATGCCTCTTCAGTCTTGCAGCGGAAGTTAAGCACCTGAAGGGAGAATCAGCCAACACTTTACACCATGGGCTAATGGGTTGGGATGACCCGCCTGTTTGCCTGGAGGCCAATGCTGAAAACGAAAGAGAGAGCTCTCCTTTTAATGATACCCTAGTGGAAGACTTAATAAGTTCTTTTGCTGCTCTCTCGGCTTCACAGCAGATAGCAGTCACTGATGGTTTGAATCAATTGAGGTCTGCACTTCTGGTAATTAAGAAGGGTTGCTCAGCTTTAATGCCCCAGATCTCCTTTTTTCCAAATGGTGGATGCTGAGGTGGTTTTGGTGAAGCCAGCTCTAGCCAAAACTTTCCTTTGATTTATTCAACCCTCCAGATGCACCTCTTGCAGACAGACAGTGTGCTCTCCCCACCCAATGAATATATTTATACCCATCCCCCTAATGAAGGTGAGGGAAATGAGGTAATACTCAATTGTTGCATTGAGGATTTTGAATTGGGAGCAACAGGGCCTTTAACACAGAATGTAGTGGATAGCTCCCCCTCTCCACATCAAGTATCTTTCCTCAAAAATGGATGTAAATTCGGTGTCAGGGTTCGATAGCCAGATCACACCACACAGTGCTTCATAAGAAGAATTCTGTTTATTGGTAGTTCATAACTATGACACGTGAACTTCTTTTGTCAGGAATGGCCCAAAGCAGCAGGGCACCCTGAATTATACTAGTTTCAACCCCCCCGCCCAAGCAAAAGCCAATAAACACTGTGCGCGCATGCGGGGAAAAGAGAGTGGGCAAAATAGAAGCCGTTTGTTCCCAGCGAGTCAGGAGTAGCTGGAACATCCAAGGTCAGAAAAGCAAAAGCAAATAAAAACCAGACAGTAGACTTCGTTAGTGTACCAGGCAGAGGCAAGGAGGATCCCCCCCACACACACACATTCCAGAGAATGGCAGTGTTAACTGACACTCGGCAGGGGATTTAGATAGAATAGAGAGGTCCAATTGACAATTACATTGGCTGTCTTGGAACCTTGGGTGAGGAAACAAACAGGTGTCTGGGAGTGCTTCCTATGGGGTGGCAGCAAAAGCAGCGAATAGAGATTATTTAACCGCCGTCATTGCATCCATTAGCTCACAACCAGGTCAATATTCAGATAGGTTCAACAATTGGTGTGTCCTAAAACTGATACTGATTCATCACTCATCTGTGATTCATTTGCAAATTAAGTCTCTACGCTCCATCTGGAGTTGTCTGCTGAATTTGATAACATTTAGTGAGAAGGGGACTCCGCTTGCTCCGTCTGGCACTTTTTGGGACTCTTTTGGCCTGCTGACCGTTGAGGATGTTGACAGGATCCTGACAGCTGTGAAACCAACTACCTGCTCCTTGGATTCTTGTCTGTCATGGCTAGTAAAATCATGCCACAAAATGGTAAGGGAGGCCCTTTGAGACAGATTATTAATTTGTCTCTCTCATAGGACTGTTTCCCCAGCTCCCTTAAGGAGGTGATTGCTAGACCTTTGCTAAAGAAACCTTTCCCTAAATTAAAAGGAACTGGTCAATTACTGCCCAGTGTCTAATCTACCTTTTCTGGGGAAGGTGAAAATGCTTTGGAAAATGCAGCTGCCAGGTAGCTGACTGGAACATCATGGTCAGCTCATATTACTACCAATTCTGTGGCAGCTGCACTGGCTACCAGTTAGTCTCTGGATCCAATTCAAAGTGTTGGTGTTAACGTTTAAAGCCCTTTACACTCTGGAACCCTCATGCCTACAGGGCTGCCTCTCCCATGCTAACCCACTGTGCTCCATTTGGCATTCTAGAGGTCTCTTCTGGGTGCCTGGCCCCAGGATGGCTTGGTTAGCTGTCACCAGGGGAAGGGCCTTCTCAGCTGTGGCCCCTTCCCTGTGGGATGCGGTCTGGGATGACACCTGTGCCCTGCCAGACTTGTTTAGTTTCTGCAGGGCTTGCAAAGCTGAATTGTTTTAGGTTGACCTTTGGAGGGTAACTACATGCTTGGGCTGTTTTAATAATGGTATGGTGATAGCCACATATGTTTGTTACTTGTCTTTATGTTGTTTTTACCTTGCTGGTTTTAATGTTGTAAGTCGTCACGAGGGTGAGAGGTGTCTAAAAAACTCTAATAAATAAATATTCCAATAAGAAGGTGCCACTGGACTTCTGTTTTGTTTTGCTATAATATACTAACATGTCTACCCCACTGGAATTATTTTGATGGATCAGACCAAGGATCCAGCAGCAGCAGCAACAATGTGTTTCTGGAAAGCTCATAAGCACGATGTGGAGTCTCAGTGCTTTTGTTATAGCTGATTTATTAAAACATGGAGGTCTGTGTTTTGTTGCTTTTTAAGGTATGCAACCTGTACCTTGTCCTTAAATAACTGTTCTCATGGTGGTTGCATCTAAAAGCAGTTATCATAGATTGAGGTTTCAAATAATAGCAATATAAGGCTTCTTATTTTTAGTGTATTGTTGTATTCGAAGTAACTGATCACTCTTTCTGTTTTTGCAAGGCAAAGCTGAACAGACAGATGGTCAGTTTGTAGAAAGGTTTGGGTTCCATACGGTCACTTGTTGTGGCTATCTTCCACAGGTAAGTTCTGCAGGTTTCTTCTGTGCATTAATGACTTTTCTGTGTTGGGATGCTTGAAAAGTAAATAAGCATCTGCAAATTAAAAATTATAATAGTGGTTTTTGAAAGAGAATATAAGGTTTATGCAGGAATAGATTTTAACAAGCAAGGAACTTGTGGGCAGCCATCCCATTCGCCTCACCATTGCCCCCCCCCCCCCCCGGGGGCTCCCTCTCTTGCTGATTCCTTCTCTTGTTTCTGTTTCTTTTTCTTCCATTTCAGCCATGACTAATGTCATTCTTCTCTACCCCCCACCCACCCTGCTACTACCATTCCTTCTCTCTGTTTCTGTCTCCTTTTTTTCCATTACAGCCACAGCTACTGTCATTCCTCCACCCACCTCCCAGTACTGTCGTTCCTTCCCTCTGTTTCTGTCTCTTTTTTCCCATTTCAGCCATGGCCACTGTCACACACACACACACACAGAGTTATTTCATCTCTGTCTCTTTTTTCCCCATTTCACTCCCCCCCCCAGACTGTCATGCCTTTTCTCCTGCTCCCCCCCCATCTGCCTGCCTCCATTCCAGAGTTCAGGGGGGGGGGGAGAGTGGCTCCTTGCCTGCTTGCCTCTCCAGCTCCCTTCCCACAAGAACATATGGTTCTCTGGAAGGTACCTGTCTTCCTGGGCTTTCCTGCTGCCCTGCAGCCACTTCAGCTCTCGCCACAGATGGTAGGTGCTCCCTTCCCTGTCCAGCTTGTCCCACTGCCGCCATCTTCTCTGGGACTTCCCTGCCTATCTTCACTGCAGCTGGTGGACACTCCTCTGTCCTGCTGCTGCCACTTTGGGACTTTGTGGTTTCCCTGGGCCTCTCCCAGCCCCAACTTCTCTATCCCTGGAGGCTGCTGCACCGTGGCTTCCTCCTCTTCGCCAGCTGCCTTTTTTCAGCCTCCCACCACCTTCACCAGTCCCAGCCACTTCTCAGCTGACCCATGGCTGCTTTTTGAAGACCTGGCGGCTGGAGAAGGCCCTGCTTTTCTACTGGCACCTGAGGTTCCAGTCTGGCCATCTTTTCCCTCCAGCTGCTGTTAGGAGAGACAACAATCGCTCCTCCTTTGCAGCGGTGCTGCTTGAGTTATCTGCAGTGCAAACAGAAGTACTCTATTTTTTAGGTTTTGTAGTCCCCCCCCCCCAGCCTTTCCCCCTCTTACTTTCAGATTTTTCTGCAACCCTGGAGAGAGCCTCAAGTTTGCAGGAAAGTCTTACTTCAGTGTAAGTGGGCATGATCCGTGGATCTAGCTATCCGCAGATTTGGCTATTCATATATAAATGTTTCATTGGGGGAAATAGGACAGCAATTTAGATAACTGAGAGTAAAGATTCCTGGGCTAGTATCATGGTTACCACTGGTGGTGGTAGATCTGGTACCCAGTCTTTGCACCACACTGAACACAACAGCAGATGCTCTTGGAAACAGCTGTGCTCTTCAGTGCCTGGGATGTTGCTAGTGATAGCTGTGTAGCACAGCATTCTGAGTTAGGACTGCTGGACGCCAAGAGTCAGTGTGACTTTATGCTAGGCTTTGCTGTAAGAGTGTGCCTGGCAAGCTGCATGGAGCTGGCCATCTGATATAGTTAGGCAAACTTCTGGTGCTGTGTCATTTGCAACAGTGTAATCTGTTGATTTTCAGGAAGAACAGTTGGAAAGGAAAGCAGCAGCTGAAGAGTATGTGTGTGTTCCTGCTGCAGTTTCAGACTCCTATTGAGCCTATAGGAACCTGAGAGCCAGGAATGACACCTGGCTCTCTGTTCTACTGCATTTATTCAGGGTATGAGATTTCTTAAAAAGAAAAAGTCTCTTAAAAAACAAACACGTGTATAACTATGTACTATGAATACTGTCTGAGTCATTCTGACAGTTTGATCTCTCTAAAAAACTTAGAGCAGATCCAGTACCATAGAAATCAATGTGACTTACCAAGCTGAGTTATACCCTTGTAAGCCCATTGATTTTGTACCCTGTTTTTTCCTCCTCAGTAGGGACCGAAAGAGGCTTCAGTGGACTTAGCAGGGTGTAACTGCTGAGCATTGCACTATTACTTAATTTACAGCCTGTTAACTTTTTTTTTGTGCCAAAGGTTCTGTCTCCTTCCAGGTGCTGCTGTCCTATAGACCAAAATCACAGCTGGTTTTGTTTTTTTTTTCCTGGCAGGTGAATGATTGGCAAGAGGACTGGGTAACTTTCTTTGCCAGACAGAGAATTCAGCCTCAGATGGACATGATTGAAAAGAATTCAGGAGACAGGGAGGCAAGAGAGCTTTGGGCACAGCTACAGGTACTGGTGATCCAAGGAAACCTTAGGGGATATTCTCACATTAAAAAAAATACTGTTTATTTTCACACCAGTATAGAGTTGCTGTTGTGAGGGAAGGTAGCATGATATAGCCTGTTCTCATCAGATCTTGGAAGCTAAGCAGGGTTGGTACTTGAATGGGAGACCACCAGTGTTCCCTCTAAGCTGAGTTAATGTGAGCTAGCTCATGTTTTCTTAACCTCCGGCTCACAGACTTTTGTCTTAGCTTAGGAAGGATGGCTCCATAGCAAACTAATTTATGCAATAGCCAAATTGCTCGCTCACAACTTTAATGCCAGTAGCTCACAAAGTAGAATTTTTGCTCACAAGACTCCACAGCTTAGAGGGAGCACTGGAGACCACCAAGGAAGGCTCTGCAAAGGAAAGCAAACCACCTCTGCTTCTCACTCACTTGAAAGGCCCTTGATGGGGTCTCTGTGAAGTCAGTTGTGACTTGACTTACATACATACAGAGGATACACTGCTTATATTGTCTGAACAAAGCTCTCACCAAGTTAATGTCCATGGCTGGTAGGAAGCAAGCCAGTCCAGCAAGGCTAACATAGTAAGAGAAATTGAGTTACTATACAAGACAAACACAAAATAAACACACATACATATAACAAAAGGGGGGCTTCTGTTTACAACATTAATTTGTCTGTTAAATTACCTCATACGTTACCAAATTGAACAATGATACAAAATATTAATTTTCCAACAGTCTATTATATTATTCACCCCCTTTATTAATAGAAAGTGTTCTCCGGCTCATCCACTCAGGTTGCTGCCCTTCTTACCCCTGACTCTTCCCATCATTGACTTTGTACCGTACATTTAAGCTCATGCAGTATTCCCAGAGCAATTCTTGTTTATCAAGAGGGAGTATCGGGAGGGAAGGCAAGATGCAGCCAGCCAGAAGCTCTGCTGCCATGCCCCCCCCCCAATTGTATTTTTATTTTTTTTCCACCTTGTATTTTAAAATATCATTGCTTATAACTAAAAAAAAAGGAGTTATAGTTCCTATTTCCTCGTATTTCAGTTGTATGTCCACATAATTTATTTGTTGGTTTCTTCTGTCCATTTGTAAAATCTTAACCATGTATTCTCAAAGTTTTCTTTTTATTCTTTCAAAATTAATGTTAGTTTGTCCATATCTGCCGTTTCAAGTATTTTATTCATGATTTCTTCTTTTGAAGGTACTTCATTTTTCATCCAGTATTTAGCGTATAATATTCTTGCAGCTGTCACTATATGTATAATAAGATAAGAGTCTTTTTCAGTTTTCTGGCAATATATTCAACAAAAACAACTCTGGCACATAAGGTATATCAACTCTATCGCATGTCCACCACATATGAAAAAAAGAATCAACATTTTTTGACACTTCCAACAACTATTTGGTGGTCCAGGATAAAACTTTGCTAATTTGTCTGGAGTGATACACCATCTATAAGACATTGTATAGATATTTTCTTCAAATGAGATTGCTTTAGTAATCTTTACATTTGTTTTCCATACCTGTAGCCATTGGTCTAAATCAATATTATGACCCAAATTTTTCGCCCATTGGACCATACAGTTTTTAACTATTTCATCTTGTGTTTTGTTTTCTAACATTATTACATATAATTTTTTTAACCAGTTTCTCATCAGTATGTAACAATACCTTGTCTATTTCTGTTATTTTTGAATAAAAGCCTATTTGTTTATCTTTGGCATATCTTGATTCTATTTGAGCTCTTTCCCACCAACTTAAGTTGAATTCTTGTATTTTAAGATTTTCTATTGGTTTTAGTTCATTTTTGTTGTCCAACAGATCTTCATATCTTAACAGTACATTTAAAAAAATAAATTTGGGTTTGTAAACGCTTCTGATAACGTGTTATTTATTTAAAATATTTATGAGTATCTGCTTTTCCATAGCAAATAAACACATGCCATCCTAATAATAATTCATGTCCTTCTAACATTAATAGTCTGGTATTTTCTAATGTAATCCATTCCTTTAACCAGTGATTTCAGTCAGTGATGATGCTCTATAATATAATAGCCAGTCTGGAAATGCAAATCTGGCTCTTGCATCTTGTAGAGAGCCAGTTTGGTGTAGTAGTTAAGTGTGCGAACTCTAATCTGGGAGAACTGGGTTTGATTCCCCACTCCTCCACTTGCACCTGCTGATGTGACCTTGGGTCAGTCACAAGCTCTGGCACAGCTATTTCTGAAAGAGCAGTTTCTGTCAGAGTTCTCTCAGCCCCACCCACCTCACAGGGTGTCTGTTGTGGGGAGGGGAAGGGAAAGGAGTTTGTAAGCCGCTCTGAGACTCCAAGTGAAGGGCAGGATATAAATCCAAACTCTTCTCCTTCTTCTTCTTGTAATGCCTTCAATTTTATTCTTGGTTTCTTGTTCTGCCATATAAATTGTATCATCAATTTATCAAGTTCTTTAAAGTATTTTTGGTTTTGAAGTATTGGAATTGTTTGGAATAAGAACATCAATCTTGGTTAAACATTCATCTCTACTGTAGCTATTCTTCCCATCAGGAATATATGTAGTTTTTTCCATTTTTCCAAGTCTTTTTTAATATCCACTATGAGTTTCAAGTAGTTGCCCTTCAGCAAGGAACTGCATCTGTTTTTATATTTATACCTAAATATTTTACCTTTTTTTACTTCTAAAGTTGATATTTCCTGTAACTGTTGAATTTGCAGCTTAGTCATATTTTCGTTGACATCTTTGTCTTGTTGAAATTAATTTTCAGTCCTGCAATCTGACCATATTCTTTGCAAAGTTTTTAATAGTTGAGTAATAGAGTCATAGCGAACACCCTTTTCCAACAACCTAAGAGGCGACTCTACACATGGACATCACCAGATGGGCAACACCGAAATCAGATTGACTATATAATTTTCAGTCAAAGATGGAGAAGCTCTATCCAGTCAGTAAAAACAAGACCTGGAGCTGACTGTGGTTCAGATCATGAGCTACTCATTGCAAAATTCAGACTTAAACTGAAGAAAATCGGGAAAACCATGAGGCCTCAGGTTTAACCTAGATCGCATCCCTGATGAATATACAGTAGAGGTGAAGAATAGATTCAAGGGTCTGGATTTGATAGATAGAGTGCCTGAAGAACTGTGGACAGAGGTTCGTGACATTGTACAGGAAGCAGCAATCACCACCATCCCAAAGAAAAAGAAATGCAAGAAAGCAAAGTGGCTTTCTGATGAGGCTTTACAAATAGCAGAGGAAAGAAGGAAAGCGAAAGGCAAAGGCGAAAAGGAAAGATTTACCCAACTGAATGCAGATTTCCAGAGAACAGCAAGGAGAGATAAGGAGGCCTTCCTGAATGAACAGTGCAAAGTAATAGAAGAAAACAATAGAATGGGAAGGACTAGAGATCTCTTCAAGAAAATTGGAGAAATCAAGGGAGCGTTCCATGCAAAGCTGGCCATGATAAAGGACAAAAACGGTAGGGACCTAACAGAAGCAGAAGAGATTAGGAAAAGATGGCAAGAATACACAGAAGAACTATACAAGAAAGACCTCGATGTCCTTGACAACCACGACGGTATAATCACTGACCTCGAGCCAGACATCCTGGAATGTGAAGTTAAATGGGCCTTAGAAAGCATTACTAACAACAAAGCTAGTGGAGGTGATGGTATCCCAGCTGAGCTATTCAAAGTCTTAGAAGATGATGCTGTTAAAGTGCTGCACTCCATTTGCCAGCAAATTTGGAAAACGCAACAGTGGCCACAGGATTGGAAAAGATCAGTATACATTCCAATCCCAAAGAAGGGCAACGCCAAGGAATGTTCAAACTATCGCACAATTGCACTCATATCACACGCTAGCAAGGTCATGCTCAAGATCCTACAAGCTAGGCTTCAACAGTACGTGGATAGAGAACTGCCAGAAGTACAAGCTGGGTTTCGAAGAGGTAGAGGAACTAGAGATCAAATTGCCAACATTCGCTGGATTATGGAGAAAGCAAGAGAGTACCAGAAAAACATCTACTTCTGCTTCATTGACTATGCTAAAGCCTTTGACTGTGTGGATCACAACAAACTATGGCAGGTCCTTAAAGAGATGGGAGTACCAGACCACCTCACATGTCTCTTGAGAAACCTGTATAAGGGCCAAGAAGCGACAGTTAGAACCGGATACGGAACAACTGATTGGTTCAGCATAGGAAAAGGAGTACGACAAGGATGTATACTGTCACCTTGCTTATTTAATATATATGCAGAGTACATCATGCGAAATGCTGGCCTGGATGAATCACAAGCGGGAATTAAGATTGCTGGGGAAAAGATCAACAACCTCAGATATGCAGATGATACCACTCTAATGGCTGAAAGTGAAGAGGATCTAAAGAGCCTCTTGCTCAGAGTAAAAGAGGAGAGCGCAAAAGTGGGCTTGAAGCTCAACATCAAAAAAACTAAGATCATGGCATCCGGCCCCATCACTCCTTGGCAAATAGAAGGGGAAGCTGTGGAAGTAGTGACAGACTTCACGTTCCTGGGATCCCAGATCACTGCAGACTGTGACAGCAGTCATGAAATTAAAAGACGCCTGCTCCTTGGGAGGAAAGCGATGGGGAACCTAAACAGCATGATAAAAAGTAGAGACATCACCCTGCCAACAAAAGTCCGCATGGTCAAAGCAATGGTATTCCCAGTAGTCATGTATGGCTGCGAGAGTTGGACTATAAGGAAGGCCGAGCGCCGAAGAATAGATTCTTTTGAACTATGGTGCTGGAGAAGACTCTTGAGAGTTCCTTGGACTGCAAGGAGATCAAATCAGTCAATCCTCAAAGAAATCAACCCTGACTGTTCCCTGGAAGGCCAGATAATGAAACTGAAGCTCAAATACTTTGGCCACCAAATGAGAAGGGAGCACTCACTGGAGAAGACCCTGATGCTGGGAAAGATTGAAGGTCAAAGAAGACGGGGACGGCAAAGGATGAGATGGATAGACAGTGTCATCGATGCAACGAACATGAAATTGAGCCAACTTCAGAGGACGGCGGAAGACAGGAGGGCCTGGCGGGAGATGATCCATGGGGTCGCGAAGAGTCGGACTCGACTGTGCGACTGAACAACAACAAATAGAGTCCAATGGATTTTCTAGAATAAATACCAGGTCATCCGCAAATGCTTGTAATTTATATTATTCTCTTCTTATTTTAAGACCCTTAATATGAATATCTTCTCTAATCATATCATTCAGTATTTCAAGCCCAAATATAAATAATAATGGTGAAAGTGGACATCCTTAATACTTGTTCCAACATAGTTCCAGCTGACATTATCAAAAGGTTTTTCAGCATCTAAGAAAATCAGGGCCATCTGTTTTTCAGGATATAGTTCAAAATATTTAATTACATTTAATATAGTTCTTACATTATTTCTAAGTTGTCTTTTTGGTAAGAAGCCTGCTTGATCTTGATGGATTATTTGTGTCAATACTCTTTTCAGTCTTGCGGCCAAAATAGAAGGATAAATTTTGTAATTTATATTTAATAATGGCTGTAGTTTTTCATTTCTTTCTCATCTGTGTTTTGTTTGTGTATAAGGGTTATTAGGGCTTCATTCCAAGTTTCTGGTATTTTACCTTCAACTAATATATTTTGAATTACATGCTTTAAAGGTGTTATCAGCTGATCTTCAAAGACATGGTAAAATTCTGGGACCTGGGGTCTTCCCTTTTTTGCTTTTTTAGTGCTTCTGTTAGTTCAGAGAAAATTATTGGGTCATTTAAAATTTTCCTTTGTTCTTCAGAAAATTTGTTCAAATTATATATTTTTAAAAAATCTTTTAACTGTGGCTTTTTTTTGGTATAACTTCTGATAAATAGTTTCAATAATGTTTTTCAAGTCCTTAGGTATATTTTTTCTCCCCTTCTTCATTTCTTAAAATTTTTATATTCCTTTTTTCTTTTTCTTTCCATAGTTTGTATGCTAACCGTCTAGTCTGTTTGTTAGCATTTTCAAGTTTTGTTTTGCATACATAATTTTTTGGCTATCTCTTGTGTTAACAAGCAGTTCATTTGGTGTAATAACTTTAGTATCATTCTTAGTTCTTTGGCTGAAGGATCTTGTTTCATCTTCTCTTCCTTAATTAGTATAAATTTTCTTGTCTTTTATTTTTTAATATGTGCAGCTTCTCTAATTATCCAGCCTCTGGCATAAGCCTTACATGCACCCCACACCACTCTAATAGAAATATCTGGCTGAATATTTTGTTTGAAAAACATCTGAAATTCTTTTTAGTCTCTGTTACAAACTTTCCATTTTTCAAAATGTATTTAAAGACCATCTGTTTTTCTTTGGTATATCTTGTAGTATAAGCATCACAGGATTGTGATCTGCAAAAGTTGCTGGTAATATCTCTACTTCTATTAAGTAATTGATGAGTGTTGTTGATATCCAACACATCTCTATTTTTGACCATGACTTTTATGTCTTGCTGAATAGAAGGTAAAATCATTCTTTGCATTCTTCTACAAGTTGTAGAAATGTATTGGGAAGTTCATTACCTTGTTTCTGTTTTCCAGTTGTGATTGTTCTGTCTAGAAGTCTATCAAATACAGCATTGTAAGAGATGAGTTCTTGCAGGAGTTTATAAAAAATTTTCTTGATGTTGGTTGGGTGCATATATATTTACAATCAAGGTTGTTTTACCTTGTCTTTGTATTTGAATTATCAGGATTCTTCCATCTTCTGAGCTATATACCAGCTCCAGGTGTAAATGTTATTTCACATATGTTACTACTTCTCTTTTTTTCTTTTCCTTATCTGAAGAGATAAATACTTTTCCAGTTTTTTAAAATTTCCAAATATTTGTCAGGACCCACAGCCAAACAACAGAGCACACACTTCCAAGAAAGGTTTTGCTTTATTATCAGTACTATGGTTGCAGTAACATAGTCACTGTTAGGAATGACGAGCAAGGAACAAGCATACAATGATATAGCAGATTCAAGAGGTCCCCCCCCACCAGTGGGCCAATTGTCCCTTTTCCCATGGACGGGAAAGAGAAACCAATCCTAGGCTGAGAAACGAAACTAGTCTCACGGTTAATTAAAGTGGAGTCACTACACAGGCAGGAGTACAAATAGTTTTGTGCCGCGGTACCAACAACCATCCGCTTTTCAGTTCTAATCCCCCTTCCCCTTCCACCACCGCTCTGTCATCATCCGAGAAGGTGGAGGCAAACCTGGCAGTCTAGTTGGTTCCTCCCAGTTGAGCAGGAGGGGAGGGGGCGGAGCTGGGGGGAGGAGCCCACCCGGCTTTGAGTTGTCACCACCCCACCCAGCTGTGAGGGCGTGAACATGGAGTCCAATATCTCCTCCCTTTGGCTGTCGTGTTGGGGGAGGCATGACAGTGCATCAGCTAAAGAAGTCGCTGAGCCCAGGAAATAGTGGAGCATGAACCGAAACTTAGAAAAGAAATCAGCCCAACATAACTGCTTAGCGTTGAGACTACGGGGGGTTTTCAGCACTTCTAGGTTTTTGTGATCAGTCCAAACCTCAAAAGGCACTCGGGTCCCCTCCAACCAGTGCCTCCATGTAGAAAGCGCTAGCCAGATTGTCCCCGCCTCTTTGTCCCACACAGACCAATTGCGTTCAGTCTCATTAAACTTGTGGGACACATAGGCTATGGGTGTAACCGCATGTCATCGTCCTCTTGCATCGTCCCCCCCCCCCCATGGCAACATCGGATGCGTTGACTTGGACAACGAATTTTTTTTTTTCATCGGGGTGGGCTAACACCGGCTCCGAAGTAAAAAGTGCCTTGAGGCGGTCGAATGCCTCCTGGCATTCGTTTGTCCAGAGTAGCTTAGTGCCCGGTTTAGTAGCCTCCGGGCCCTTCCCTTTGGTTTTCAATAGATCAGTGAGGGGCAAGCTGACTTGGGCAAAGTTGGGTAGAAAATTTCAATAAAAATTCGAGAATCAGAGGAAGGATTGTAGCTGATGGCGAGTTGCTAGTACCTCTATCCTCTTCTATACCCTCTCTCCCCAGCCCCTTTGAGTGGGTAAGTGTCTTCTTTGGCTTACCCTGATCTCCACCCACCCACCCCCAATTCCTTGGTAACTGGCCTCCATATGTAGCGCTGTACAAGACGTGCACATCCTGTAGAATGTGTCTGAAGTCTTGAGATTTCTGGGGTTGAGGTATCTGGCAGTGATCACATGCTGCTGCTGCTCTGTGTCAGTGATAGGATAGGGTCTTCCCCCATGGGCAGTTGGCTGCTGTCTTTATATCTTAATCTGTTTCCCTGCATAACCCATGCTACCCATGGTATAATTTGGATTTATGGGAATGGGTATTTAAAGAAGACTCGATAATTGATAATTCTACTATTTTCAATCAGAAGTTTGCCCCATGGTATAAAACCATACTCCTGCCAACCTAGCAGTTCGAAAGCAAGAAATTGCAAGTAGATAAATAGGTACCACTTCAGTGGGAAGGTAACAGCGTTCCGTTCGCCTTGGTGTTTAGTCATGCCGGCCACATGACCACGGAAACGTCTTCGGACAGCGCTGGCTCTTTGGCTTTGAAACGGAGATGAGCACCGCAACCCTAGAATCGGATTCGGCTGACTTTCGAGCAAGGGAACCTTTACCTTTACCTTATAAAACCATAATGAAAGATCATTCCAGAGCTTCCTACTTGGTCAATTTAACAGCTCATAACCTAAGAATGGCATTTACAGCCATTACACTTCCAAACAATGCCAACTGAGTTACTAAAAGGTTGCTATGCCAACATTCCAATTGTCCAATGTATCTGTCTGTGCAGTAGCACAGTGGAAGATCTGCCACATTATGTTTTGTCCTGCCCTCTGTATTTGGGTCCTAGGAATAAATTTGTGGCTAAGATTCTGGTTGATCTGCAGTTTTTCTCCGATTCTGAAAAACTAGCTTTTATGCTGTCTGATGTGGAGCCTTCTGTTTCTTACAGACTGGCTCTTTTTGCCCTGGCAGCCAGGAAGATCAGAGCAAATAGTGCCTTTTAGAATGTCCCCAATTGAATTGTTCTTGTTTTATTGAGATGAATGTGAGTTGAGGTCTTAGAATTTTAACTTTGTAAATATGTTTCAAATGTTTTATTGTTTCAAATAAACTCTTAAGTCTAACAAAGTACTTGCAAAGACTGTTACTTAATTTTTAAGTTTAAGAAGGCTTTTGTGCGCATCCTGGTGTGTGACATATAACCCAGTCCTATGCAGGTTGGCCATTACGTATGCTAATTCTGCCTTGATATGGATTGTTAGATATCTACTGCCTAAAATCAGTTCTAATCCCTTTCCCCCCCTTTCAGATAACTTTAGTAACTCTTGCTTTCTTTTCCAGCTGAAGATACCCAGTTTGCTTGGTGATATGGAGATAGTTCCTGCTCTTCTACATGGGGACCTGTGGGGAGGAAATGTAGCTGAGGATGATTCTGGCCCTATTATCTTTGACCCTGCATCCTTCTATGGTCACTCTGAGTATGAGTTAGCAATTGCAGGGATGTTTGGTGGTTTTGGTGGTTCTTTTTATTCTGCCTACCACAATAAAATCCCCAAAGCACCAGGTTTTGAGAAACGGCTGAAGTTGTACCAACTATTCCACTACATGAACCACTGGAATCACTTTGGAGGAGGGTACCGAGGCTCCTCTATAAATATAATGAGAAACCTGGTGAAATGACTTTCTACTGTAGAGTTTCAGCTCTGTTGAGAAAAAAAATACACTTCTGCTGTTTCAGCTGCACTGATGTACATCTGTCACAGTCAATGCTGACTTTGCACCCTCTTTCTCCAGCTAAATTTCCTTTTTGTGTCTCAGGTTTGGTGATGCATTATTTCAATTTATCAAAGAACTGACGAATGAGGTAACCAGACTTGTATGAAAGAGGCTATGGGAATGTTGCTGAAAATGTCTTAGCATGCTAGACTGGAGAAAATTATCTCTTGTGTGAGTAGTTCGAAATCTTTGCTACTCAAAACAGCTCTTAAAATGAAGTCGCAAAAACCCTGGGCATATTACTAGCTATGTCCAAGTGGGCTTCTTCACAGGAAATTGGTTGTCTCATTGAATGAAATTGTTACAAAGAGAGGCTAGTTTCAAGCAAAATCTAATAAAAAAGGTAATTTATTCAGTGAAGAGTGGGTGAGGACCATTTTCAACTGTTGATAGATAGGTAAAGTGGGATTAAACATCTAGTCTAAGAAAGTACAGGATGAAACATGATAAACATCTAATTAGAAAGTTATATATAGCTGAATTAACATCTGTATAGGGGTAGGATATGCAAGGTATTAGCACCTCTAATGATTAAAAAATCTGGTTTTGGATTTCTGGTATTAGAATACAATAACATATTTGGGGGGAAATGTGCATTAAAAGGCTATGCCATAAATATTTTTGGAACACATTATATGCTAAAGACAAGCAACTAGAGAAGCAATTTTATTTTCAGGTATTGATTTCTTCATCCCCTAACACTAGGTAGGTGAAAAGGCATGATTCTTAGAATGCATGTTTATGCAGAATTCAGAATGCTTTCCACTGGTTTTCAGTTAACATGACAGTACAGCATTTCCTGAAAGTTTTGAATGTTGGGAAAACACTATGAGTTACAAACTAATTTATAACTTCAGCAGTGTGTTTGCTTTTCTCCTATCCTAATTTCAGTACTAATAGCACTGGCTGTTAACTGTGGATTTGGCAGAAAGCTCAAAGAGTAGTTTAATCATAGAATGTTAGAGTTGGAAGGGACCTTGCAGGTCATCTAGTCCAACCCCCTGCACTCTGCAGGAGCAGAGTTGTGCTTCTTGTGCTGTTTAAATAAACCCTTTGCCTGATAACCTCTTCTACTTTCTTTACTGGATTAGAGTTGTTTAATTTATAGCCTGCCTTTCTCAATGAGACAAATATGGAATAGTGCGATGAAACAGCATACAACATACAATAAACAATGCAATATGAGAACAATGGAAACAAAAAAATATGACATACAATGCAAAGAGTGGATTACAAAAATAGAAGACAATGTAATATGCATACAATAAACAGTGCAATCCTGTTCCCTTTAAAAATGCCCTCCTGAACATTTCTGTCTTACACAGAATGATAGAAGTGTGGTGACGGGGAATTGGCCAAATGGGGCTCCTTGGCAAGGAGGCTCTCAACAACAGAACACAGAGTAGCCCTTTGACCTAGTTTATTTGTGATTGATCACAGGAGTTTCTCATCTTGGGATGAGCACAAACTGGGAAAACACATTTTGTATCGGTTTGTAGTTCATGGTGTACATGGTTCACGAACCATGGGCCGTCATGAACGTTTTGATGCTAGACAAACTGCTGATGTTTGTGACATGGTAGAATGCCCCCCTGGCGTGCTAGAGCCACCAAACTCGCAGAGTAGCTCCAGCTGACTCTACCTGCCCTCCAAGTCTGGTGATGATTGTATTTACAGGGTCTGAGTTATGGCCCCCCGAAAGAAGCTGACCCAGGGAAGTACTTTCTGGGGAAAAGACAGGTGCAGGTTCAGGAGATTCATGAGCCTATGGAATGGATCCCGTGTAAGCTAGAGACATCAAACTCACAGGGTATCTCTGGCTGACTCTCCTCTACGTTCCCTCCAAATTTGCTGAGGATTGGATTTTTGGGATCTGAGTTACAGCCCCCCAAAGCAGGTGTCACCATCCTCCATTGTTTCTAATGGAGGGGGGGGGACAGCAAAAAAAAAGCAAGGGCAACAGAAGCCCAGTGGAACAGAATCAAAGTCCCAGAGAATATCTGCAGTAGAAACTGGAGGTGGGCATTTTTGAAGCCCAGCAGAACCAGTGTCACTGGCAGTATAAACCCAACAAGATTAAGGTCAAACCAGGAAAGTGCTTTTAGGGGAAAATCTCAGGCACGGGTTCAGAAGTGTCTAGGATGGACCCCCTACAAGCTACACATACCAAACACACAGGGAACCTCATCCTGCCACTTGCTCCTCTACAAGTTGGGGATGGGTCATGTTTCTGGGATACCAGTTATGGACCCCCCCAAAAAGTTCTCCCAAGTTTTCTGTCTGGAAAAAATAGCTGCAGTTACAGGAATCTATGGAATGGCTTAGGAACAAGCCAGTGACGCCAAGTGTACAAGGAAACTTCACCAGGGCAGGACCCCTGCCCGACACTGGAAGTAAGGCAAGAATCCCCCCTATGCTTTAAGCCTCACACAAATCTTAAAAGGCAGGTTCTGAAGGACAAAAAGGCAGACATCCTCAGAGTTTTGACAGGGGCTCCCAAAAGTTACTGCACAACAGCTTGGCAGCACCCCAGCCCCACCAGACCAGTGGAAATCAGAATTTTTAATTTAAAGTTATGAGGTAGGTGTTGTTTTATGAGGTAGGTGTTGGGTGAGGGAGCCCACCCCCACTTGGCAGATGCAGCCATTCTCCCACCCAAGTGCCAAGGACGCAAACCACAGGCCAGATTACCCAGAGAGGAAGAGGAATGGGAGGATACGCAGAGACACAACAGAAGGCCCTGTGAGTTTTCAGAGAGGCATAGCCCAGCAGGGGGAGGTTGACCTTGAGGAACGCCAACTCATCCACCCGGGCTGGGTCCAGGCAGGAGCGGTGGGGGCTGAGAATGTCTCCCTTCTGGGAGAATACCTGCTTGCTCTGGACACTGGTGGAAGGGCAGGAGAGAAGACTCATGTCCACACGAGGGGTTGGGCCAGATGGCAGCCTTGTGTGACCAGTACCCTAGGGGAGCAGTGGAGGGGAACTTGGCGAGGCACTCCCTCACCATCACCTCTGCCATCGCATGCTTGGTAGCTTTGCCGCTACTGGCCTCCCAGTTCACTACTCCAATCCAAAGCCTTTTATTGGCATATAAATCCAGTTCACTACTGACAACCAGTAGTGAGGCTTCTCAAGGCAGAGGTGCCAGCCAGGCTGTGGCTCCTCCTCTCCCCGCCTCTTCCACCCGCTGTTTCCTCTGGCCATGCCTGCTGGCTTGTAGCCTCCACACTTCTTTGTGGAGATCACGCTTCCATTGCATGATATCCGCATTCCACAGAGCAATGCTGCCTTTTATCTGGGTGTAAGGACTGGCCCAGGGCCAGGACAGTCCAATCCCCCAGGGAGACCTCTCAATCCTGAACCCACAGGCATGAGAGCTCCCTAAAATTTACACAAGTTGTAAAAATATCACTAATATTTATTAAAATAAGAAAAATCAAAATTCAGTCAGGATACAGTTGTCAGGCTCTTTACACAAAAAAACTCCTAAAGACTAATTAATACTTTAAAGTTCCTCTCCTTAGTCTGATAATATGTAACTGATATAGACAAAATTACCATCTCCACACATTGGTCATCCTGGCATTCTCCATCATTGGGGGAAGGCATCCACACTGGTTAGGTCACGCCTCCTCTCACTCCAGGCAGGGCTGTGCAAATTTTTGTGTATGCCTACTTTGATAGAGCAAGGGTGTCCTTCCAGTTTTGATAGCCCTGCTGCTTCAGGAGGTCGTTAGAGCCTAGCTCCATTTACCAGATTAGCAGCAGCTACAAAAGAAAAAGAGAAAGGAACAACGCAAAGACAGAGAAAAATAAGACACATGGATGCCAAGAAGGCTCCAGGTCTGGGGGCTTCAGGAAAAAAGGATCTGACTCTAGGTAACCTTACCCGTCCAAGGCCTTGGGCAAAGGGGAAGGACTATGAGAAACCACTTCCATGCAGCTACCGGAAGACAGGCTGGGTGTTCCTGAGGCCTCGGGGTCCCACCTAGCTGCCGTGGCTGCATCAAGGCTGATTCCTTATAATGTGGCAGGAACAACAGCCGCAGCTGGGTCCAACATGGCCGCCATTGTGTTTTCCCTGCGTTTTATGAACAACCCCCTGCTGACTGGCCCATGAATACTTTGAGAGCAGCTTGGCTACTGCAGACCTTGCCAACAGCAATGAACTTAGTGCCACAATATCATTGGGGCAGTCAGAGGAGGAGAGGGAACCTACTGATAACAGACCCAGTGGAAGGGGATGATCCTCCAGCGAAGTCTCAGAGGGGCCCCAAAGGGAAAAGAGGCACAGAACATTGAGCCTTTCCATCTCAACATCCATACAGTCGTTGGCATCATCTTCAGAGGGGAAGGTTCCTGAGGAATGAGGGAGAAAAGGGCACTTGAGACATAGGTCAAAGAGAGAAGGATCTCTAACCCCCCTTCCCTCAGCAAAGAAGCCCAAGCCGTGGTATAGAAGGAAGCAACCACCTTACAGACTGGGATCAGATGTGGAGAGCAATCCCTCTATTATCTCTTCTGCAACCATCCCTTCAGACAGAGAGGAAGATGAATGGTCTGGTGAAGAGTCTGGCACCAAAGAGACCTCTACCAGATTGTTCTAACTTGAGCATTATCAGAAATTGCTCAAGAAGGTAGTTTCAACCCTTAACTACTACACAGATGCAGGTAAACAGAAAACCTCAGACACTACTGACAACCTGGATGTCAGAGGCTTCAAGAAGTCAAGGAAGAACTGGACTGGCTGCCCTTTCCCTAAACATTATCAGGAAGTGATCAGGTCAGAATGGACACTTCCTGGGGCTGGCTCTACCTTGAACACTGTAGCCAAAAAGTTTTATGTTTTACCACATGAGACCATGGAGGACCTGAAAGTACCATTGGTTAATGCCCATGTGGTGGCACTACATTCAGAGGCAGTCTTATGCAAGGATGGGGACAACATCCTTAAAGACACAGTAGACAGGAAAAACGAGACAGTTCTCAATAGAGCCCAAGAAGCAGCATCCCTAATCATAAGAGCCTCTGCAGTTCTTTCAAACTTTATGTGCGCCATAGTCATCTGGGCGGATGGTCTACTTCAGCATCCTGAACCAGACCCATTCACCTTAAAGCAGTTTGCTTCTGATGCCTCACTGGACAGCCTACAATATTCTGCCAGGTCTCAGGCAGCCAATGTAGTGGTGAGGCGGAACCTCTGGCTTAAGCAGTGGAAGGTAGACGCCCTTTCTAAGGCTAACCTATCCACTGACACATTCTTGGGCTGACTGCTATTCGGTAAAGGACCACTGGATAAGGTATTGGTCGAAACTAAGGAAAAGAGGCAAGCTATGCCCTCTACGACTATTTCCAAAACGAAGGACTTTAAACCAAGGTCTTTTCAGTCTTTTTGATCGTATAAAGCTAACAACAAAGGCAGAGACTACAGACAGAGTAGAGGGGGCTGTCCTCTTCCTACCAATCAAGATTCCAAAGGAAAAAGTTCCAGGGGCTCAAGAGGGACTCTAGCAACCAAGGAAAAAACCCAGCCGTATGACACCAGGATCGGTGGGAGACTGCAGGAATTTGCCCTACAGTAGAAATGGACCACGCAAGATCCTTGGATTCTCTGCATTGTGGAATCAGGATCCAAGATCCAGTTTTTTTCTCTCTCTCCATGCTGGTTCGTACAGTCTCCAGTGCAAAAAGATCCAGTAAAGCTGATCCATCTGAAGGAGGCAGTACAGCACCTTATGGACACTGGTGCCATAGAGATCCTTTGGAAGTGTAGTGGATGAGTTTAGCATTTTACAGGCAAGATGGATTAATCAGCTCTGATATCACCATGGCTGTAGCCATACATCTTTGTGGTGGCCCTTATGCTTATTAACTTTGTCTGCTCTGGTATCGTACGAGGCTGACCACTGTTGGCATAAGCCCGTTCGATGAATTGAGAAGGATATAATTCTCTGGTATAATTTTCAAACAAATTTGTCTTTTGGTAAATGTCTGTACTAGCATGCCGCTTTTCCACAATTGGCCTTTCCTCTCAGCTACTACCTATCCCAGCCTCAGGCACCCTGCCCTTACTGTGGGACATTTGTATATGAATTGTGTGTGTATGTGGGGGGAGATGGAGCGATATAGGCTTGCTAACCTCCAGGTGGTAGCTGGAGATTTCCGACTGTTATAACTGATCTCCAGGTGACAGAGATGAGTTCACCTGGAGAAAACGGCTGCTTTCGAAAGTGGGTTTATGGCATTATAACCACATTTTAAAAAGGTAAAGGTTCCCTTGCTCGAAAGCCAGTCGAATCCGACTCTAGGGTTGCGGTGCTCATCTCCGTTTCAAAGCCGAAGAGCCAGCGCTGTCCGAAGACGTTTTCGTGGTCATGTGGCCGGCATGACTAAACACCAAGGCGCACAGAACGCTGTTACCTTCCCACCGAAGTGCCTATTTATCTACTTGCAGATTCTTGCTTTCGAACTGCTACTAGGTTGGCAGGAACTGGAACTAGAGACGGGAGCTCACTCCGTCATGCAGCTACCCGGGTCTCGAACTGCTGAACTACCGACCTTCCACAGCCTGCAGTTCAGCGTCTTAACCACTTGAGCCACCGCAGCTCCTTATAACCACATTTAAGTCCCTTCAAATCCTGCCCTCCTCAGGCTCCACCCCTATTATCTCCAGGTATTTCCTAACCTGGAGCTGGCAACTCTAACTGGAAACTTCCAGTATTAACTTGAAAAGAGTCCTTGTTGATGATACTCTATGGGCTATGGGCAATCATACATAGACAGCCAATGCAAAACAACCAGATCCACGTACCATAAAGTTCTCTGTGCAACCTGGCTTCCCTGTTTCTGTTTATTCGTGCCGTGCATATAGCAGTGGTCCAATGGAAACTGGAAGCAAGTGCTGCAGGCCCATAGCCAGGATTTTTTTTTAATTTGGGGGGCCTTTAAATAAGTCGGGGGGGCACTGATATAAAAATAAAATTTAAAAAACTCACATACACTGGCTGGCCCTTGCCCCAGCTGGTCTTCCCATGTGGTGGCTGGAGGGAAGTGTAGGCCAGGCTCCAGCCGGCCGGCTGTGGAGGGGCAGCAGGATGTGCAGCAACAGGGTGAGAGAGGATTGAGGGCAGAAGCGTCAGAAGGGGGTGAGACTCCCCTGCACCCTGATAGCTGAAGAAGACGGGGAGTCATGGGGAGAGGGGTGCTTGGAGGGATGTTGGGCAGCCATGGACTTAAAAATACCTGAGAGGCAAATCGACCGATCTCCTGGCCCATCCTTGACAAGGCAGCACAGCGTATCGGGAAGCCTGCATGGAAATTCCACAGCCCCCGTTGTTTTTTCTTCCCCCTTGATGCCAGGCAGAGGCCTGGTCATTCTTGAGAGAGAAACTTGCTTCTGGCTGCAATCCACTTTCCTTGGAGTAAGCCTTATTGCTTTACACGGGACTTACTTTAGAATAGTCAAGCTTTGGATGGTGCCCTCAGTTCTCCATTCCTGGGAATGAGATGGTAGCCGAAAGAAATCTCTGCACTACCCAGAGCAGCCCCCCTGCCAAGGGGGACACTGTCTGGCCCAGGCTCCAGCTGGTCTTCCCATGTGCAGCAACGGTGCGAGGGGACAGGTGAGCAAGCGCCAATGTGCCCTGGAAGCTGAGTTGGCCCCCACTGGTGCTCCAGCTGGCCAACCGAGCACAGCCGAAGGAGGCAGAGGAGGAGAAGGTGCCCCAGCCTCGGCCATGCTGTGCACCTGCCCTGGCCCTGCCGGCCTCAGAGCGCGACCAAAAGTTACTCCCGGCCCCACTTTGCCTGCCAGCCAGCCCGCCTGCCAGTCCACTTCGCTCCACTTTTTGTGGCGGCCACCCCGTGACCTGGTTCTCCACTGAGTGCTGGCCTCACCTGGGAGCCTCGCATCAGCACTGTCCATTCAAGACCCCCAGCCCCTCCCCCCAACTGCCTGCCCGGGATGGAGCCTGCAGGGCTACTGGCAGGCATCAAAGGGATGGGGCAGTGGCACAGAGTGCTCTGGGTGGCCCAGAGATTTGGGGTGGTTGGGCTGGATATGAAGTTGTGGGGGCCAGGCAGGCAGTGGGGGGGAAGTGCTGCCAGTAATCCCACCCCCCCATATGATATTCCTCAGGTTAGCCTGATTTCGTCAAATCTCAGAAACGAAGATGGGTTGGCCCTGGCCAGTATTTCGATGGGAAACCACCAAGCAATAAAAGGGTCGCTACGCAGAGGCAGGCGATGACAAACCACCTTGAAAACCCTAGGGGGTTGCAATAAGATAGCTGCGACTTGACTGCAAAAACAAAAAAACCTCAACCACATACGGAATGTGTTCAGCATACTATGGAGATAATCCAGAAGTGCTCCTGCATACAGTTTTGGGACCTGGGAAGTAGAATGCAGTAACTTCCGGGTTGGAACTGGAAGTCACTGTTGAGCGTTGTTTCCTACGGGTATCATAGTCTCCACGAAACGTCTTTAAAAAAACCAAGATGGGTAGTCGTGTTAGTCTGTAGCGTAGAAAAGAGCAAGAGTCCAGTAGCACCTTAAAGAGTAACAACATTTGTGGCAGGGTATGAGGTTTCGAAATCAAAACTTCATACCCTACCACAAATTTTGTTATAACAAAGTGGCTCCTTTAAGACCAAACAAAGGTTTATTCAAAGCGTAAGCTTCCGTGCGCAAAGCACGCTTCTGGCCTCTGCCACATGATGATGAGGAAGGCTGAGTTTACTATTCGCCACGGTCTGTCACGTGAGGCTAGTTTCTTTCCGGTTATTGGCCATTGGGCGTCTGAGCGTCGCATGCGTCGAGAGCAAAGACAGGATTGGTCCGTGAGAAGATCTGTGCGTTTCAGCGTGAAGATCGCTGTGCAGTCTGGCGTGGGTGCCCCTGGAAAGCTTAGAGTGCGGTGTCTGAATGTGGAAGTGGTGGTTGCGGGCGACGGTTAGAGCCATGTCTGGTGGGGGAGCCGTCCCCGGGCCCCGCCGGCAGCGCCCGCCCAAAGACCCACTGCGCCACTTGCGCTCGCGGGAGAAGCGTCTGGGTGCCGCTGGGACCTCCGGACGCAATGGGCCTCGTACTGTCTTCGTGCAGGTGGCGGCTGCTGGCACACGAGACGCGGGAGCCGCGCTCTATGTGTTTTCCGAGTTCAACCGGTCAGCGGGGTCCTTTCGCATAGGGTGTTCGCGGGTGGGGTAGATGATGCAGTCATCTTGTTATACAGGGCTTGGGTTCGTTAGGGGTTGGGTGGGAGGCCTCTTGGAAACCCGCCCTTATTTTCGTGTTTTCCATGTTAAAAGAAAAATCAGATCAAAATGTAATAGCAAAGATATCATACGCACTTCCAGGTCCCCGAGTTCTTGTGAGCCGCATGCTTTTCTTCCCTCCTTCATCGTCAAACTGGTGCAATATGCTCACGATTGTTGCTGTCCTGCTTCATTCTCTGCTCATGTTCTCTGACGAAAGACCATTTCGTTGCGGTATCGCTTTTGATAAGGTTGCCACACCTTGAAGGAAGACACTTGGATTTTCTTCATAATTCCATGCCTGTAGAGATTAGAACGACACATTCTCTTCATCTTGTGTTGGTTTAATCGGCAGATATATGTGCAGCTCTTTCAATAGAGCCTTGCTTGGATGGACTCTTCTTGGTCACATACAGGGCTCTCTCTTCCTCCTCCTCACTTCAGAATATTTGTTTTATGAATGACCAGCAGTGCAACCCTCTGCTCCCCCTGTAGAAAAATGAGTAGGATTGCTTTCTCTTTAACCTCTTAAACTGGTTGTCATATAAGGAAGGGTTTCTAAAGTCTGCTGCAACCTGTGTGATGTTCCATTTTAGTAAAAAGATTATCTGCTGTCTAATTTACAGTCCATATCCTGCAGCTCCTGAAGAGTTGCAATATATAACATTTAGATCCGGATGATGACTTCATTATCCTTTTTCGTGGCCTTTTTTCCAAGGAGTTCAAGACTTCCTTGTTGAGAAATGTTCCCAGTGGGCAAATGAACTGTTTGCCTATCTGCTTCAGAAGGCTTAATGTTACATGTTATGAAATCTAAACTTTCAGGTATCCTGAACTATATTTCTATTAGAAGTTTATTTCCTTTCAGGCTTCTTGCATCATCTGTTGTTTCTGTTTGCTCTGACTCACCATACTATTGCATCCTGGTCAGTCTTATTATTCTGATTCAGGACAATATTATGTTTAGATAGGATGACTGAAGAAAACTAAAAAATACAGCCTTAAAAATAAAGTGCTCACTATAAAGGACCCAATCCAAGTGCTGTACAAAACATGAGTTATTATTCAAAAAATATCTTTCTCCAAAGTATTCTTCATACAAAAATATTACAAAAGGACACAGTCTCAAAGAGTAGAACAACAAAGGCACATAGGTTTAAAGACACTATGAATTCAATCCCGTATCTTGTGCCTAGGCACACAATTCCAAAATAAAGTCTAACAGTTTAAATCCCATGTTGCCTGATAGAAGGCACAGCCATATAACTAATGTTCTGTCCTGTTGGGGCGTGTCGACCTTCTTTGTCCTGTTTCTCAAAAGAACTTCGTCTGAGAAGCAACTGTGACCAGTTTGTGGCAACACTTTTTCTTTCAATCTTGAGATCAGTAGCCTGAAGCCTACAATTTTCTTTCCAAGTTCTACGGCATTTGGATTGGGTTCTTTATAGTGAGTTGTCATAGGTGTTGGTCTATTTGTGGTTGTATTACAAATACAGTGTGCATCCTTTGCTCTGGTTCCATCCTTTCATCTGACGCTGTATGTGAGTGTGTTGTTTTATTGCTGGAAGGAATGGGATGATAAATTACTTTCTGCTGCATTTGCACATTCCTGATATTGTTGTCAGCTCCATTTTGCCAGTAGAGAATGAGTCATTTGTAGCCATGAGTCAGTTATAGTCCTAATGAGTGGTTTTGCTGATCATAAAATATTTCATTTTAGGTATCTCTTTAATTGTGGAGAAGGAGTACAACGCCTTATGCAAGAGCACAAGTAAGCCTGATTGGTGTCAGGATGTGGGGGTGGGAGGGTAGTGCTGCAAGGAAGCTAGCTTCTGATAAATTCTGATTTCATAATACTATTTTCTTTCCTCAGGTTGAAGGTGGCTCACCTAGACAACATCTTCCTTACCAGAATGAACTGGGCTAATGTTGGTGGTCTATCTGGTGAGTTCATTCAGCAATTCTACTGTCTTAATTTGAATTTTTTAAATTTCTCCAGTAAAATGGTAATCTGTAGCAAATCTGAGCATATACAGGGGTAGTTGCAGGCATCCACGCTTATTACTGATTGTATGACCTGTATTTGGAGTTTTGTTTCTGTCATGAAATGTTCATGTTATATTTAAATTCCTTACAAATCTGCAATTATTGCTGAAAGGTTTAGTGTAATGTCTCTGTCCAAAATTATTTATTACCTAAGGAAAGAGAATTAAATAAATTTGCCAAGAATGAGGAGTTCTAAGGCACCCTAAAGACTGCAACACTTTTTCTTGGCAAACATTCACAGAGTAGAGTCAATTTTTTTCAGATTCCATTTTTCTGGATAGGAGGAGGGCTGTAACTTAGTGGCCGAAATATGCTTTGCCTGCAGAAAGTTCCTGGGTTTAGACAGTAGCATCTCTAGATACAAGGATCTTGGGCCGTTATGGCTAAAATGCTGAGATTTATTGCCATTTAGAGGAGTCAGTGGTGAACTAGATAAACGAATTATATGACTGGTTTCTGGGTGAAGGTGTGTAGGAAACAGACTATACAGTTCCTGTGTTTTTTATGCTAGTTAAGGGGACAGAGTAGTTTTTCTAAAGAATCAGTATTGGTGACTGAAACTCATTGGCTTACTGGGTTTGGAAAAGCTTTGTGAATCAGCAGTAATAAATTATTCCACTTTTTAAACAACAAAAATGTGGCACTGCCTATATAGTGGAGCTGAATGAGAAGTATTTGGGGTCATTAAGAGTTGTCTGGGTCCCAAAGAAATAAATAATGCAACCAATCAGTTCAGCTCTTTGGATCAATCTGACTGTTGCTATATTTGCAGCCCTATCTAACAAACCCTCCAACATTTCAAAAATGAAAATAGGGACATTCTTTTTGTACTTTTAAAGCTCCTACTGTTACCAAAAATAGTTACCTGTATTTTCCCTCCTCTGTATTGTTGTATGATACTACTTAGAAGTATTAGGTTATTAACACAGCGAGTTTATACTTATTCCTGTTTGTAGCTGTGAAAAAAAATCTTAGCTCTTACAATGACTTTATTGATGTACTTTTACTTTACAGCAGATAGATTCATCATATGATATGAAGGTTAATGCCTGCAGGAGCAAAGTACATATTATAGATGGACAAGTGTCATATGTCCTACCATTATAATAATGACAACCCATTGCTTGAACATTGCTTTCTGGGTGCTTCTCACCATGAGTATTTACAGTTGCATCTGCCCCCTGGTGCCTTCAGTGCAGAAAAATAATTTCCTTTCGCTCTAGCTTCCTGTTATTGTTTTCCTCTGTTTTTAAAGCAAACTCTCACTATGGCTGCAAGCTTTACCAGAGTGCGGTTGAAGAAAACCCTTGTTGCCCACAAGATAATGCTAAGCCCATGAACCAAGTAGACTGTGCCTCCCCCCCCCCCCCCCCCCGCACAGGAGGCCATCAAGAACAGCTAATAACCTGTGATAGATCTGAGGTAACTCAGTGGGTTTCAGGGATGAATGGGGGTTTGAACCCTGTTCAAGTTCCAGTGCTCTATCCATTACACCTCAACTGCTCCTCTTATTTTGTGTATATAGTCTGTTTTACTTATTTCTCTTGGTGAAGAATTCAAAGGAATAAGCCAAAGAGCTAATGGTTCAAATGAAGAGGAATACTTTATTGTTCAGGTGAAAAAATTCCCAACATGTTTCACAATAAAGCTTTTTCAGGGGAACCTGATGTAATACATAGTTCTAGGAAATGAGTTCCCATAGGTTCTTTTGCCTATTTTTTCCTGCAATTGGTACAGCTCTTCTGTTTGAAAAATTAAAAATGTCAGCAACTTTATTATTAAGGTAAATGTGGCCTTTTTGTCTTTTCTGCAGTAGCTGGTGAGTAGGTACTCTGTTTTTCATGATTGTTAAGGCCGTTCTAAAACTTGAACCTGAAAGCAGTTTTTAAAGCTGAAGTTTTGCTTTTTTCCCTTCTTCTAGGAATGGTTCTTACCTTGAAAGACACAGGAGTTCCAAAGTGTGTGCTCTCTGGACCACCACAACTGGTGAGTGGCTGTGTTTCTTCGGTACTTATTGGTGTAACTGTTCAGCTCTACAATGTCATATGTTGGTAGTGAACAACACAGACTAGTGCTTTCCTTGGAGTCCTTTGGTTCTGTTTTTATGGCTAGATTTGCATAGTGGGCTATCCACTTGTGAGCAAATCTACAGAGCTCAATATCCTTTGGACATCTCTTGTGTCACATAATAGTAGTGTTTGGCAGTTCTGCTTTGTACAGAAGGGATGTTTGGGGTTGGGGACAAGAATGTCTGAGCCTTTAAGGTTGGCATTGTGCCTACTGATAGGGCAGGGCAGATCCAAGGATGTAAAGGTTATTTCTATGTTCATGAAGAATTATTTCCTTTCTAATGTCTACATCTTGACCTGTGAAGATGACAATTCTGATGTGCTCTTGTCTTGTCTCCTTTCTGTCCTGTCCTTTGCAGTGGTTTTATAATTCTGATGTGCTTTTCATTTGCACCTGTGTGTGTAATGTGGCACACATGTGGTAATATAGGCAACGTGGTTGGCTGTTGTAAGGTGACAGAAGCAGATGAAGTGTGTCTTACTGAACACACAGAGTGGATGAGAATAACTGTGCTGGTATCTTGCTCTATAGTATTGTGACATGACTTGATTTATAGTAACAGTGTCTCTCCTATAAATCTCTTCCAGGAACAGTACCTGGAAGCAATCAAAGTCTTTTCTGGTCCACTAAAAGGAATAGAATTAGGTAGGAGCTGTACTTCTGTGTTTGTTTAATTACCAGCAGCGGCTAAGTATTGTGCTGCACTTTTGTTCATGAGGCAGATCAGAGGACTGCACTTCCTATTTGCGGCTGTTTGTCCTGAATTTATCTGTGGCACCTTATTTCATGGTTGCTGACCATGTTCACACTTCTTGTAGAGGCAACTGCCAAAGAACCAGTAGAAGCCATGAAGCATGCAGGGTTTTATTTATTGATAGATTTATTGGAAATTTTAACCAAACCTACCATGCTCTTGTTCAGTTACAATGTTAATTGTTTAGAAAGATGTACTTGTTGGGGCTATTCTAAGATGTTTTGTTTCATGTGTTTTGTTTCCAGCTGTGCGACCCCATTCTGATCCAGAATATGAAGATGAAACTATGACTGTCTATCAGGTTCCCTTGGTAGGTGAGTAAAAGGGTAAATGGGTGACTCTGCAGATAAAATGGTGAAGGTGACATGCATTCTAAAATAACAAATTGCCTGCTTGCACTAGGGCAATTCAAGTCATGTATGAGCTAAGAACAGTCTCTAGTTTGGCTGTACAGCCCTTTTAGAACTGGTTAGTTTAATTATGTTATTATTTCTGTTTTATGGTTTTTGTTATTCTTTTAATGGCTTTTTGCCATCGTATATATAAAGAAGCCCTAGCATATTGGCATTTTCTGACTCCTCCATTGTCTGTGCTGTGTGCTCCAGCAGCCATTGACCCGTCAACTGCCACTCAAGAGTATTCGTATGCCATTGGCTGGGTGCTGGGTCCATTCCTTTCCCCTGCCTACTGCTGGCTTGGCCCCTGCTCTTCCCTGTCTGAATAAACTGCCAAAATGGCTGTCTCTCTGGACGAAGACGCTTCTGCTGCTGCTGTTTCGCTTCTCTGCTTCTGGCTGGTTACTGATATGGCTGTTCCCTGCTTAGGAAGAGGCTTCTGCTGCTGCTTCTCCTGCTTGGCCACCAGCTGTCAAACCATTCTATTCTCCTGCTGTGGGGCTCACTTTCCCCTCAGTGGCTATTGCTAGGTTCTGTCAGTAAAAAGACAGGGGCAGGAGGCCCTTTCAAGGTCTTCTTTGGCCTTTGCGGGGAACTCATTGGGGCCAGTCCTGACTCAGTGTTGCCAGCTCCAGGTTGGGAAATTCCTGAATATTTTGTGGTGGAGTCTACGGAAGCCAGAGTTTGGGGAGGAGAGAAGCCTCAGCTGAACAGAATGCCATAGAGTCCATCCTCCAAAGCAGTTATTTTCTCCAGGGGGAGAGAGATCTGTTGTCTGGAATTCAGTTGTGATACCAGGTGATCTTCAGGCACATTGACTTTATTGATGTACTTTTACTTTACGGCATATAGTTTATTCATCATATGATATGAAGAGATTGAGATTTCTCCCCCCCTCTCCTCCACTTACTGAGTTTCTGGCACTGGCCAAATAAGGAGAGAAGGGGAAAAAAAATGGTGGCAACAGCATTATAATCTTGTGGATTTAACCTACAAAGGAGAATTCCAGCATCAAATTATACAAAATGCAGGACAATATTATAGCCAAGCTGACTCAACCTACAGAGAAAAGGATCTTCAGCACTTAAAAGGGCAAGACACAGAACAATCCTGCAATCAAATTGATCAAATCTACAGTGAGAACAACAGATCTACTAAAAGACTGTCAAATTCTGGCATCCTCAAAGCTATATTCCAAAGAGAAGATGAAACCGAAGCTGTGGAAACCTCAGCCACCTTAAAAATTAGATGTAGATGGCGAATGTTAAAAGAAATCCCCTCCATCTATAAGGAAAAGAGGCATAGAATGATGATCTTATTGAAAAAAAGGAGTTACAAGAAGAAAAGGATACAGCTTTTTAAATAAGACTGATTCAGAGAATCTCCGTTTTTGTGTAAGATGGGCTAGTAAGATGGGCCAGGGAAAACTGCATTTGCAATTAGTTAATATTGGTTATAACTGAATGTATTTTTATGCATTTATAAAATTATTGCTCATAATAAAATTAAGGAAGATTTTAAGAGAAGACAATATAAACAGAAGATAATATAAAATATTAGAGATTAAGTAAAAAAAAAAAAGGAGTCAGAGGTATTTCTGTTAAACTGCTTACCAGATGACTTAGATAAGAACCATAGATACTTTATTTTACATGTTATAATAGCCAGGGGCCATTTCGTAGAAAAAGAGGTGCAGGAGCTCATTAGCATAACTCCTTAGCATAACTTATTTGCATATGCTACACTCCCTGACATCACCGGAAGTGTGTCAGAAGGTGGGAGAGCTTGTATCTGAATAAACCTTGGTCTTAAAGGTACCACTGGACTCTTTGGATTGTTACCTGGGGGGGGGGGACATGCAGATCTGCCCTCACAGAGAGCTTTTACCTAAATAAGCCTTGGCCTTAAAGGTGCCACTGGACTCCTTGCATTGCTACCTATTGGGGGGGGGGGGAACATGCAGATCTGCCCTCACAGAGAGCTTTTACCTAAATAAGCCTTGGTCTTAAAGGTGCCGCTGGACTCTTTGCATTGCTACTTATGGGGGGGGGACAT